GCGTACTCCCAGATGTAGGGCTTCCTGATGCCCAGAGCTTCAATAATCCAGTAGAACTGCTCATCACGGTCGTGGTACTCGGTGGTCCTGAGAGCATGAGTGACCCCCTCCAGACTGTCCACAATGGGGCAGGCAAAGTCGTACGTCGGATAGACTCTGGAAGAAAAGGGAAATGGAAGTGACTACTTGATGAGTATGTTGAAACAAATACTTAAAGATGCAATACGAGCGGAGTATCTGGAGGTTTCAGCAAGACTTTTTAAGACCTATTTTATGCCAGCTAGAAATAAACAAAAAAAAACTAACAAGCCTGAAATTTCTGGGTTTTGTTTGTTGCTCTTGGCAGTGGCTTTGTGCTTCTCACACTGCCAAAAGCAGTGTGAGTAGAGGTCAAACCTCTTCTCACATTCAAATGAAAGACTCCTACTTGTAGGCCGTTCCGGTGCGCGGGTGGGGGGCGTTCTTGCAGCGGTACAGGGTGGGGTCTCTCAAGCAGCCGTTGTTGGAGCTCATGTCAATCTTGGCTCTCATGCAGCAGCTCTGACCGTACTCAGTCCCGGCTTTCATCTCGGCCCACATCTTCATGTTCTGCTCCACAGCTGCGAGTTGAAGATCAACATGCAGGTTAGTTTGCAAGCTTTTTGATTTGAAACAACCCCAGTGTAGCTCCGGAGGCCTTACTGTTGTTTCTGCATCGGGACTCGGTGCGCTGCTCCCTCTCCTGCTTCATCTGCTCAGGAGGGGTGTCGTCGATGTAGGCTTTGCCCTCGGCGAGAAGCTTCTCCGCCAGCCGCATAATGACAGGAAAATGGTCACTGGTGTAGGTGAATTGGTCTGGATGGATCTGGAGCATGGCGACGTCTTCCAGGATAACCTGAGGTGAAGCACACAGAGGTAAATTCTCTGTTTTGCTATGCCACGTATTGTACATACCTATTAGAAACAATGTCACTAATTCTCAATCATTTCACATTCTGACAATACTGGACCTTCTCAAAGTCCTCCTTCTCCTTCTCCGGGTTGGTGTCGTCAAAGCGCATGATGAGCTTGCCTTTAAACGTCACCTGGTAGTGCTGGTTCAGCAGGGCTGCTTTGGCGTGGCCGATGTGCAGGTACCTGCTCGCAGAGAGACACCAAGGCAGTTTGAGTCAGGAGACATGCTAATCACCTGCATCAGAACAGAGCGGATTAAAAGTGCAGCCCTACCCGCTGGCCTCAGGAGGGAATCGAACTACCACCTTCCCCATCTCAGCTCCAGGCAAATCCACAAACTTCCCAACATCCTGCTTCTTCTCACCTGACTGGAACATGTTAATTAGAACCATTAGAACCAGTCAGACAGTGCTAAAAATGACATCATCCTGGTTTGTGATTTTTGCAGTTTATGCACTGCAAAAAACACAAAATTTTACCAAGAATTTTTAGTCTGGTTTCTAGTAAAAATATCTTTGAATAAAACAGAACTAACTCACAAGTAACTTTCCAGCAAGTTGCAGAATCTTTTTTAAGATCCACTGGCAAACTATTTCATTTATAACAAGATATTTTTCCCATTCTAAAAGTGAAAACATCTTGTTGTGGAACTACTACTTTTTAAGGAATTGTTTACTTAAAACAAGCTCCTATATCACCTTAAAAGGTTACTTATAAATTAGTTTTGTCTTATTTCAACTGTACTAAGACAAAAATACTTGGTGAGATTATGTGTTTTTACAATGTGTGCAAGGGTACAACCTGAACACATAACCAATTCATGGTCAAGAGAGAACAGAATTAAGTCTTAAAAATGACATCTAAATCTCAACGGGGTTTATCTGGTTAAATAAAGGAAATTTTAAAAAAGTCTTACATTGGAGTTGTTCTGTACAGGTTTCTTGCTGGCGTACTTGCTGCCCACAGAAGAGAAGGGAACCTGCAAGTTCAGGAAGAAGAACCAGCGGCTGACGTGAGGGAAAGCTTTGCTCTGATTTGGCCAACTGCTGTGATCTATGGAGAAAAGAAATTCACAACCTAAGTACTGTAGTATACATGTATATCAGAGAAATATATATATATATCAGAGCTTGAAAAGATATAAACCCAATTTCTCAAATCGGGTTTCTGTGGGAAAGTTGTGAACAATTACCATCTTGCCTGTCATGGATAACGCTCTTAAAGTTTTCAACTGATTCAGTTTCCATGGAGGTTGTATGTCAGCTACCTTTCAGGGCGGCCCACACAGACAGATCAGCCAGGGTGAGGGTGTGTCCAACCAGGAAGGTCCGCAAAGACAGGGCCTTGTCCAGGTCGCCCAGTGCCAGCGTCACATCAGGCTGATCGCACAGCCGGCGAGCGCTGAATTCCAGCCAATGGTCAACCTGAAGTCACCGATCACATTGAACGGTCGTCAATTCAGAGTGAGTGTGAAACACCTCCACCCAGTCAGAATGTACCAACCTCAGTATGTTCCATCATGTTGGCTCCGTAGAGGCCGAGGGCGGGAGCAACCCGGGCCAGGTATCGGCTGATGGAGTTGGCGTCGCTGAACCGGACTGAACTGGTGAAAAAAAGAAACATAGTGATTTTAAGGCTTAAAAATACAATCTTGTTTTTTGCTTTTTTAAAGGAACAAATGACAGAGAATGTATATATTTTTAAAATGACTTATTTCAATAATTTCTTGTGTGAGTCGACCTGAATTTGAAGTCGAAATAAAGAGAAGAAATAAAACAGGCTTGTCAAACAAGATGGTTCTGGAGTCGGTTGTAATCACTCTGAAAACCTAAGTAGTGCATTGGTGAAAAAATAAATGTCCAAAAATTTAATCTTCATTAGCTGTTCTGTCAAATCGTGCCTGTTCGGATAAGAGTGCTTTAAAATTATACCTGTCAGTTTAAACTTTACCACTTGGGTAGAAATATGTGTTTGTCACCAAGTTTCCAGGAAGAACAATCGTAAAACAGATCAAACATGTCACTTACTCTGAGATGTGAAGGCTGTTGCTGCTTCCTTCCTCCACAGACACCTGCACAATGTTCTTCACATGCTCTACAGTCAAAAGCGCTCCTGAAGAACCAGCAATTTTATTATTATTATTATTTTCTCTCTGCAAATTAAGAGAACTCGCGGCTCTTCAGACCGTCTACAAAATGACAAAGAACAAGCTAATCTTTTGAAAACATAGATACAATGAAAATAATCCACGCATTCATAAGGAGAACCTTAGGTCGGGATTCAAATCTAGAACGCTTCTTGCTGAAAGACCTAGTGCTACCAATAGCCCAAATATGTTTTGCTGTCATCCCTGCATATCAAAAAAAAATTCTCCAGTTCCCAGAAACAGAGCTGGAATCAACTAAGACGAAACAATATGAAACAACAAACATACACAGACCGTTTTATGTCACACGTTTCAGTATGCTTACATCAGCCTGCTGTATTCCCTCTGTGGTACAAAAGAGGGCGCTGTTTGACCTACTGGCTTTGACAGTCACTACATTGGATTATCCAAGTCCAACACTGGATTAACAATCACTGGAATTGTAATATTATTAAGTAGAATCAAGATGACAAATTACCATAACAGGATATCGTTGCATATACAATAACTATGACTTCACAGTCACTTCAAAGCTCAGAGTGACATCCGACACTCGGAGTGTCCCAGTGAAATCTGTGCTGACTGACCTGCTACTTTCAAGTTCAAAGAGCTGATTACAGTAAATGACAAAATGGCATGTGGAGCTACAATGACAGTGAGTATATAATGTGTAACGTTACTATTTAGGACCGGGGAAAATCACAGGAACCGGCTACATCTGTGGCTTCTTGGAGCGCCACGACTACAAGTGAACAGCCGTGGCGGAACCGCAAGAACAGGATATAACATCACTTACTACCAATTTAAACACTTTTTTTATGATATAGACGGAAACTTTTTGCGGGTTTATCTTTTATTTTATATTGTACAACTAAAGCACTTTCATGTCGCTCCAAAAGTAAACATAACAGGAATATGAATACGGATAAAAATCAGAGTGGTGTTTTGTTTTGCTAGCTGCTGAGCTGTCAGCCGGGGCGCGTGCAGGTTCACGGACTAACTGAAGCTGGGATGACAAACCGACCGCAGGCGGAACTCACCGAGAGGCGGGTTGGTGCTGTTAATGGTCAGGTTTAACGCCATACTGACGGATTCTTCCTACGCGCAGCCCGTGTAGTCTTCACAGTGATGAATAGAAACCAGAGAAGTCAAAAGACACCCAGGAGCCTCTCTCCACACGCCACACCAGCCGCTACCAACCGGAAAAAGAGAGTGAGAGTTATTCTGGGACGAACAACAAGGTGCATGTGGAGGCAACACTGCCCCCTGCTGTACTGGGAGAGACATACGTGCCTCCGGTGAGTCTGACTCCCCTTGCAATAGTTTCTGCTTGAGCTCTTTCACAATTTGTTGCAGGTAAGCGATAGAAAAATGGCAAATACCTTTCAAAACTGATAACAGCTAAGTATCTGAAAAATGTATTATGTACTTATATTCAGATCTCTCAGACAGTGCGTGGTGGAATCATTGCAGGTATACTTTTGAAGTATTTTAGGGCATGTCTACCAGCTTTGCAGTGCTGTATAGTTTGAGTTCTGTCAGACTCCACTTTTTGATCTATTCATGAAGAAACCCAACTAAAACATCAAATTCCTTGCAATCTCACATCAATTAAATTCAAGAGTTTTACTACTGGAACTACAGAAAGAAACTTAACAAACAAGTCGATACATAAATAAATAAAACCCGTTTTATTATTATTATTATTATTATTATTATTATTATTATTATTATTATTATTATTATTATTATTATTATTATTATTATTATTATTATTATTATTCACGCCTCCATTTCATCTTCCAGCGTTCACCCCGCGATGTTCATTTGTAATTTCTAATTTATTTTTTAGAATCAAAATTGACGCGGAACTCAAGACAATCATTGCCGTTTCCGACCGGACTCATTTCAATGTACGTTCCGTTTTTCTGCAGAGCGCTTCTCAAACAGTGAAACAAAGTTTGGCGGAGCAGGTCGTTTATTGTCGTGGACCTGTGTCCGTTCTCGTTTTTCTGACTTGGTAAGAAAAACACTGAACTCCGAAGATTAAATGTAACATTACTTTGATTTTATTTGTTTTCCTTTTTTGCTCGTCGTCCATTCCATAGCTTGCATGCAGCTTTGTGTTTGCAAAGCTGCTTGCAATAACTGGACAGAAATTCACAGCCACCGTTATACTAGGATAAATTGGAAAAATATATCTATGTCTAAAAATTAAAGTAATTATTCTTCTGCAAACACTATAGATATATTAGTAATAATAATAATATAGTTTGTGTTCACAAGCATCAACCAATTTAAAAATAAATACAAAATACTACTATTACCACTATTCAGTTATTGTTATTTTACTGTTATAGTCATTATTTTTTATTATTATTTATTTGCAACTATATGACACAGATTATGAAAAAGTGGTAAGCTTATTATTTTGTTCCTGGTTCTGTATGCACATGTTTTCTCTTGTCCTACTTGTTGCTTGTTTTTAAAAACCAGTGTGAAATAAAATGAATGAAATGTTTCTCCTCCTCACTGTGTCTCTTCAGGGATGTCTCAGGCCAGTCTGCATGGCAAGTGGACCGTCTCCAGCAGCGACGACGACGATGATGAAGTTCTACCTCCTTCGGGAACCACAACACCAAAGTCCCGTCGGCCAGCCGAGTCCAGGCACGTCTCCAGCGGGTCTCCCTCTCCGGTACCAGAACCAGCTCCCCCGGAGGTGAAAGCAGAACCGGACAGCACCCCTGCGTCCGCTCTCGCTGTTGGTTCTGAGGCCAGACAGTCGGCAGCGAGGAACCAGAGGAACCCAGTCAAGTTCCAAACCAGCCCGTCGCGTAGTGAGAAGCGGAAGAAAGAGCCCTCAGACGGCTCCGGCTGGGCTCTCTCAGACAGTGACGGCGAAGACGACGCAGAAGGGAAAAGGAGCAGCCAGAGAAAGCTGCCGAACCAGGCAGCGCCAAATGGCGAGACGAAAAAGCCGAAGGTGGAGAGCGAGCGTCCGCCAAGTCCCCACGGCCGACTCTACTACATAGACGAGCCGGACGACTTCTTTGAGACGTCCTTTCCCTGCCTTAATGACACCTACAGATTCTACCTGAACAAAGTCACAGGGCTGGACAGGAAGTTCAACAGCGGAGCGCTGCACATCAGAGGTGAGGCTGCTGGGAGCAAATCTTACAGGAAGGAGTTCACTCATCTTCCTCTAGCTGCCTCATTGTGTGGCTGCTGGTTGAACTGGGTCAGAGTTAGAAAAGTAAAACCTATGACCTTGTTTCTATTCCTTCAGTCAAACTTTCTATCTCCATTATTATTATTATTTTTTTTTTTTTAAGCAGCTGTGAGGTTAGTTAGTAAGTTAGTTGATGCCACCAACCTAGCTTAGCTGGCCACTACAGGTTGAGCAGCTAAAGCCTATCCAAGCTTACATCTCCCAGAATGCTGTGCAGCTCTGGACCTGGGCTCAGCTCTGGACCAGAGCCCAGGTCCAGAGCTGCAGCCAGGTGAGCTCTGTATTGATAAAGAGCTGTCATTTATCAATACATCAGTGCTTATTTGGTGAGAAAAGATCATATATGGATTAATCAGGAATAACTGTTTAAACTTCTTCTTACCTTATTTTCAAACAAAAATAAAATTTCTATTAAGCTATTTGAATTGTGAATGTGAACCCATTTGAAACTAAACGAATGAACCAAACTACATAAAGTAGAAAACCATGTGATGTTTTCCATCATGTTGGCCAATCGCATAAAATCACAAAACAATAATCTGGCCATAACATGGGAAAACGTTAAGGGTCTGAATATTTCTCTGCTATATACAGTCCCTTATTTATCTAACAAATATAACAACTTTTCTGCAGACATCTTGTCCCCGTTATTTGGGACCCTGAAAGAGTCTGTCCAGGTGAGTAACTCATTTTTTATGATGCAATTTAGACTCTTTTTTTTTTTAATAAAAATTTGCTTTAGTTAATTCACCAAAGCTTTTTCTTGTTTAATATATTTCCATGCTTTAATATGCCTCTGCTCTTGTCTTTTGTAGTTTAACTACTGTTTCGATATTCCCTGGATGGTGAAGCAGTTCCCTTCAGAGTTCAGGTAACTTCCACTTCTCATTTGATTTATCAACATATTCAGGTTTCAGTCTTTTTTTAGTGTTTCTGAAAGTCCACATTCTACTTAGGATATGATTAAGGAGCAAATACAATGGTTGAAATGGTTGAAAATTAGCCGGGTTTTTTTTTATCCAGTAAAAAGAGATATGACGTGTGGCTGTGATTTTACGGCTCTGTTTTGGTTTTCAGACATTGTCCAGTTCTTATCGTCCATGGAGATAAGCGGGAGGCCAAGGCACGGCTCCTTCAGCAGGGTCAGCCTTTCCCACACGTTCGTTTCTGCCAGGTACGTACCTCGTAGCGACGCCAGCAGATGTAGAGACAGATTTCTGAGTAACGTCTTCCTCTTAAGGTGAAAAATGTTCATGTTTCAGGCTAAACTGGACATTGCTTTTGGAACTCACCACACGTAAGAATCTTTTTCTTCCTGCATGGCTTGTTTTTTATAGCTCCTGTCTAATTCTTTTGATGAAGACCGATTTAAAAATCAAATTAAAATAGAACATTTTATTTTATTGTGGTTTTTTTTTTTGTTGTTATTTTTACCCACTCCACAATAAACTTAATAAATACAAAAATCCAATACTAATTCTATGGGAATTAAAAGTTTCAGTTTCTTGGTCATTGGATGTTTGTGGTTATACTTGCTTTAAGATTAAAGGCAAAATAACCAGGTTAGAAAAGTAGGCTTGCAATGTGTTTCACCTACAATATGAGAGGATTTGAATCCATGTGTGAATATGAAATAAAAACTTTCCATCCATATCAACTCCCTCAGCTATCAGAGCAAATCTTTGCTGTTTGGACTCCACTGGTCTGGTGCTGGTTGAGATTTGAAACGAAACTTTTGTAAACTTCCATGTTTTTATTGTGCAGGAAGATGATGCTGCTATGGTATGAGGAAGGCTTCAGAGTCATCATCCTCACCTCCAACCTCATCAGAGCGGACTGGTATCAGAAGACGCAAGGGTGGGTGTTTCAGGGGTTGTTGGGAAGGAAAGACCTTGGTTAACGTTTATTAAGTTTGCTGCTAAACCTGTTTTTTTTTGTTGTTGTTGTTTTTTGTTGTGCTTTGGGTGGGTGGATGATTTTCCACGGTTACCAGAGGGGAGCAGCGAGAGTTCAGGGGAGTCGCCCACCTTCTTCAAGCGAGACCTGCTAGAGTACCTGGCGTCGTACCGCGCTCCAGAACTGGACGAGTGGATCCAGCGGATCAAAGAGCACGACCTGTCAGAGACCCGGTAAAGCTTAGTGGAGGGATGAACCTTCTGATCCACAGCAGGGCTTATACTGTAAGATGATGCTGCAGACGAAGGCAGGGCAGAAACGTTTCTCTCTCCTTCTGTTTTCAGAGTTTATTTGGTCGCCTCCACGCCGGGGAGATACGTCGGCGCAGACATGGAGCGCTGGGGCCACCTGAGGCTCAGGAAGGTGGAGACTGTCCTCCCTTTCTTCTGCTACATCCCACTGACCTCCTCTCTCACCCCACACCACTGTGATTTTGTGCATCTCTTTTTAGCTGTTTACTCCCACATTTTTTCGCCCAACTGCTTGTTCTTTTTCGCCCCCGTTAGCTGCTGTATGATCACACAAATCCAATTCCAGATGAGGAACGGTGGCCTGTGATTGGCCAGTTCTCCAGCATCGGCTCCATGGGGACAGATAAGACCAAATGGCTGGCAGGGGAATTTCAGCGCACACTGACCACGCTCGGAAAATCCTCCCTCCGATCAGACACTCCCGTTCATTTGGTTCGTTCCTGAAGTGTTGATTCTTCTGTTTAATGTTAAAAAGGCTTTTTTAAAGTTTATCTTATCTGACATACATGAAGGTCAGCTTTAAATTTCTTTAGGAATAATTCGATGTGATGCCACTTTGCAGCTCTATCCGTCAGTAGAAGATGTGAGGAAGAGTTTGGAAGGTTACCCTGGTGAGTCTTTTCCTGTGAAATGTGGAAACATTGATGTGATGATGCTTAAATTACATGGAGTTGAGATTCGTCCTTTAAAAAAAATTTACATTTTGTGTAAAATGAGAAAATAAAATGCATAAATGATCTGCTCGCACTTTGGAGTTCTGGATATTTTTCATTTTATTTCTTGCCATTGTGTGGATTAATGTCAGATTTCTTGATTAGTTAAATTATGTCTCTACAGTATGCTTGTTGCAATGACTCAATTAATTGCACAATAAATTAAAAAGAGCTCAATAATTTCCATTTGTCATTTTTTGAAAGATGGTTTTGTTTATGGAGACGTCATGATTCTATTGTTTTTAGTTGTCATGCTTTATTTTTGATATTTAAAATATCTTCCAGCTCCAGCATAAAGAATTCTTTGAAATAATAAAATTTATTGGTCTTTAATAACTTGCATTGTTAATGTCTTTCTCAATATTTTACTTGAAAATGGTCCGAAAGCAGTTATAAAATAGTATTGTTCCAGTGTCTGTGTTTGACGTGGGTTTCTGACGGATGGATCCTCATGTTTTGTTTCCAGCTGGAGGCTCTCTCCCTTACAGCATCCAGACGGCTCAGAAACAGATGTGGCTCCATTCCTACTTCCAGTAAGTCGACTTCTCCTGATGCTAGCTCACAGCTGTCGATCATATCTGGATTTGACTCATTTTTGGTGATCACAACAACCAAAATTATGACGTTTTCCACAGTGCAGTGTGAAAGCAAACCGAAGCAGCTGAAAATGTAACAAACAATTTCAACTAATTGAAAAACTTGTTCACCTCCTCACCTATGGTGGCGCTGCACTCAGAACGACAGAATGAAACGACACAAAAACCTCAAAAAAAGAATAGCTCCTCTTCCTTCACAAAATGGAAACAAATATGGAGAAGCATCAGGTTTTACCGGTAGAAGGAGTTCTTTTGGTAAAAGACCATGAATCATTTCTTCCTGTAATTTGAGACTCATTAACTTGTTTTGGCTCTATTTACCCAGGATGCCCTGCTCTACCGTCCACTTCCTGCTTTTGGCGTGCTCTCCGGTCCGTTTCGTGTCAAATCGTACCAGAGTTCATTTCAACCGAACCGAAAACAGAGTTTGTTTGCGCATTTAAACCTCCCTAAACAAACCAGACTTTCTAGTCAAACGAACTGCATTTCATTTCAAGTAAATAAACAAATGAAACTAAATATTCATTTTGTGCTTTAAAAAGCTCAGATTTCTGGTAACAAGCTGCGCACTTTTCTCTGATTTCAACATTGAAATCTTATAATTCTGTGTGTGTGTGTGTGTGTGTGTGTGTGTGTGTGTGTGTGTGTGTGTTTTTTCTGTAGCCGCTGGAAGGCGAGGAGGACGGGGAGGACTCATGCCATGCCACACATCAAGACGTACATGAGGGTTTCACCGGATTCCACTCAGCTCCTCTGGTTCCTCGTCACCAGGTGCGTGTGTAGATCTGCAGGCTCACGCTGCCGCCACTTCTCGTTTTTATTTCCTCTGATCAAATATGCATGGATCAACGTTTTGCATCGATCTGTCCCCTCTTGCATGACCGAACGGACGTGTGCTGCAGTGCCAACCTGTCCAAGGCGGCATGGGGAGCCCTGGAGAAGAACAACACGCAGATAATGGTGCGCTCCTATGAGCTGGGGGTCCTTTACGTTCCGTCAGCGTTTGTAAGTGGGACACACAAACAGATAAATAAAGAACAGCTTTAATCCGCCATGATAATCCTCCTGTGCAAATGATGAACAGAGTGCAGAGTTAACTCCAGGTTGTGTTTTTACAGAGCATGAAGACATTCCCCATTGATACCAATCCATTTCCTGCTTCCTCTTCCTCTACGTTTGGATTCCCGGTGCCCTTTGACCTCCCGCCTACCAGCTACTCGCCATCAGGTACAGATATTTGTGTTTTGAATAGACATACACTCTCTAATTCCAACATTAGTGGGTTTTGATATTGGCCATATTAGCTTTCCACTCAGAGTGACAGAGTCGGTGGGGCACAAGAATGATTAAAATAAATAAAAATTATTTGGGCCCTGAAGGAGTTTTCTGTTTCTTTTTTCCATATCCAGTCAGCTGGAGAGGGCGCCCCCTTGTGGGGAATAAACTGCATGTCAAAGGTGGATGATGATGCTGAAGTTGGGGTGTGATTTGAAATCCATGATTTAGTTTTACGTTAATGGACTTCTTCTATTTAAAGAGTCTGGGCTGTATTTGACCTTTTTAAGTTACATTTATCCAAACACAATTTAATATTTGTGAGTCCTTTCATTTTGTAAACATGTATTGTAGGGAAATGTATCAGCCCCAATTTGTTTCATTTTGTGAGATGGCGATATGCTGACATATGAGATCTTATTCACTGATCATATCTATCTATGAAAAGGTCTGAAAATGATTCACTATTCGTTTTTGCTCTGCCGTGAGAGAGAGCTCACCTACTGGCCTGCCCACCAGCTGACATCTACACAAGCGTGATTAACAATAGTTGTCTTTTCAGACAAAACAATCTGTATTTTTTTAAAGATCGGTAATCAGAGAGAAAACTGCAATCCTAGGGCAGCGATTTATTCATCAAAACACACAAAAACATTTTGTGGAGTGGTTTCTGTAGATAAACTTTAAACTAGTTAAACATTGTCCAAACTCTGTAGTCATTACAATTGTTTTCAAACTCTACGTGGAATTTACATGCATACAGATGAGAGGAGACAAATAATAAAAGCAGGAATTGCTGCACTCTTTAGTTTTCTCACTGGAGTGAATTTTATCTCCATCTTCAATCTGGACAGCAAAAACTGTCTAAGACAAACAGTGCAACTTGGGATCATTTTGGGTTTTATAAGTCAAAGTTGTTTTTGTTTCACAGCATGTTTCCATCTGTTCTCTGCAGACCAGCCATGGATCTGGAATATCCCGTACAGCCAGGAACCAGACACTCACGGCAACATCTGGGTCCCCTCTTAGACGGTGTTAGTCGACTCTGTAGCCGTTAGTGAACTTAAGCTATTTTTATACTATGCTGTAGACAATTTTCAATAAATAAATTACACTGGTCTCACTGCCTAGTTGTGTTGTTAAATGTTGCGATGAGATTTATGTTTGAAAAGATATAAGTAATACTTTTATATCAATTTAATATTGTATTTCATCATTTAAAAACTCCAGTTAACGTGAGGCTGAATCCTCATTATATGAATGTTCAGGTTGTTTTTGCTTCTGAAGGTTTTACGTTCCATAAAGCATTGTTTTCTATTAGTAGAAGCCACACCTCATGCATTCTCCAGATTTTATGATCATCTCTCTTGACCATGTATTCCCCAAATTAATGCTTTTCTCCCAAGTTGTTGTTTTCCAGCCTCCTTAGTGGCATTCTGGAGTTAAAAACAGCTGCCGCAACGGAAGACACAGAGGAGTTCAGCTCCCTTTTTCACGAGCGTCCCAGTCAAAATGGGTAACCACCCAGTTAAGGAGACGGTAATGAAACGCAGACAGATCATCTGACTTTATTGCAATAATTAGAATACCAGATAAACTGGGCAATGGAGCTGGCAGATGGTTGTGTTGGTGAGGTTTCACGCTCTACAGCCGTTGTATCCTTTCCTGCAGCGAGTCGATTTTAAATGCGCTAGGCTCCTTTTAAAAGCAAACGATTAACAAATCTGTGCTGAATTACTTCCAAATTACACCATTTCCTGTGTACTTACTCTTTTTGTCATTAAGTTGATTTTGAAGGAAGCGTATTGAGACCTTTTATACGGGCATGTTACCACAAAAAAAAAGTTGTGTTCAATTTTTGTATGTCTTACAAAAAAACAGTATATAGTCACAATATAGACATACACTATACTGTGGGATACAATATAGTGCGACACACTATATTGGATTCAGTGCTCCTAACATCACTGATGCAGTAGATGATTATCTTTTTCATGCTAGGGCAATTAAATAATTTATTCTGAACTCATAAATGGTGGTACATTGAATAAAAAGATAATTAGAGAAGACGTTTTAATAGAGACTACTTCAGCCGCTATTTAATAGTAATATCTCAGTTATGTGTTTTCCAAATACGATGCAGGTGTAGTTTTACTGAAGTTAGCTAAGTGTTAACTCGGTGAAATATATGTACTTTACATACTTTACTTCCTGAGGGGGAAAAAAATGAGGAAACGTCTTGTTGGGAGTATAAGTTTGGTTAGATTAATTTTAGAAACAGTTAACCTTTGTGCATATGAAATATTCGATGTAGCATGAACATTTTGAGTTGATTCTAAGTTAGGTAAACTTAGATAAAGATCCAAACTAAAACAACTGCTGACTCTCTGAACTTACATAAATTACTAAGGAGGGTCTTCAGACAGGCGGGGGTTGTATTCCCATAGGGGGTATGTAGACACAGGGAGTCTGTCTGTTATCAGGATGAGTAAAATTCTTTGGTGTTTGTTTAGGAGTTCAGCAAAACACTAAAACCTTTAGAAAACAATTCTTCTAGAAGTATAATCAAATGTATTAAGATATTTCTTTTAAGTATCAATAGCGTGTTCTGAACTACTTAGAGTCTAACCATACTAATTTGCATGCATCTTAGATTACTGAAATAGAACAGGATTAGGAAACTAAAAGTTTTAGAAGTAAAATATTTCAGGTATTCTAAAAGAGTTTTTCTAAAAGTAGATAATCCTGCAATTTTTAGATCCAAACTCACAGTTATCATCTGACACCAGATTTCTGTGCCAGTATGTTTATAACAGGAATCAGTTTCTTGAATCAGTTTCTTGATGAATCGCTGAGGCAGAAAACCACCAGGTCTAGCTGAAGTATAAATTTTGGTCTGGAATGTAAAAAGGAGGAGACTGGTACAGGAAGACCCTGTTTGAGAATAACCTTTGTTCTCTCCATATATTTGCCTTTGGATTTTGACAGGTCTCAAAGAGGGTAATAAAATTAACTTTAAATCAATTTTAAAGCCTACAAGGAGAGGACACACCTTCAAATGCATATATTAAAATAAGGGAATACACCTCCTTATAAAATGTCTGTTTTACAGCAGAAAAACGAATTGCTTTGTTTGCAGCCGAGAACAATTCCCAAGAATGCATTCTTGTGTCTTTCCTATTGTGTTTTCCTTTCCAACTCGTTGAAGGTAATTGTATGTTTTGTTATGTGTTTGGACTTCTTGATATTCTGGGTGTAATGCTGATGTGACATTTTAGGCATTAAATTCTCCGGATGAAACTCTAGATATGTCTGAAGTTTGATGTTGAATGGTTGTTCCTGAATCTGGGAGACTAGAGGAAAATTAACGAGCCAAGTAAATTTGATTATTCTAAGTCAACAGTCTACTGAAAATATATACTTTTTTGTGGTCCTGATCATCCTGCCCATAATAAACTACCCGCCGTATTGACTTCTGGTACAGTAAACCCTTTGAACTACCACTCCCGTCGGCCTTCGCGTCACAGTGTCAATATGGCGTCTGTCTGCCGGACAAAAGGCGAATCTGTCTGACGGCGGATTGAAACCCAATTAGAAGCAGGGGGGAGACATTTTGGGAAAACTGTGACAGTCCCCGAGTCTCTGCGCTCCGAGGCGGCAGATATATGATCAAACTAACATCTGTGGAGGCTCTCGGACTGGAATAAGGTGAGTGTTTCAGCTCTAACAACTGCTGTCTTCAAACGCTCCAGCTGCGGCTGCTAGCCCCGATGCATTTCCCCTTTTTTTTCCCCCCCTCTCTCTCCCAGTAAGGTGATAACTGCAAACTCCTTAAAAATCCCCAGAGCCGCGGGGTTTTCCTCGGCTGGTTAGTTTCACGCCTCCTGTACGGGTTCAGCTGAATAAAACGGGACATTTGGACTTATTATCGGTATATATACAGTTTGTCGGTAGCCTAACGAAAAGTCAACTTTTCCTAGCCGTCGGTAAATGCTAATAACACCGTTCACACGCCTGGTTTATGCGTAATTACACAAATATATGCGCAAGGACATTTTTTTTGTTTTTTTTTTTAATACGCAGACGTTTATGGTTAAGCGAGGCTTAAGGGCTGTAACCCAGTGTACTTTTACGTAATTGGTCGTGAAATTGATCATAATAAACCCCGCAACTTCTAGAGACACCCACAGTGTAACCTCTGGCCACTTTGAGCAGCGGTTGGTGTTTTTCTTGATGCGGTTTCGGCTGCGAGTCCGGTCGTAAAGCCGATCTCTGCTTCCACATGTGTGCAGCAGAACACGCTCCCCATGCCACGTCTGGGTAAGAATCCCGGACGGCCGGTTCACTGGGTTCAGCCCCTGCTGTACAGTTATTGTTTAACAAGTTTAAACTCTTCTTTTGGTGGAGAGATCGAGTTCAGCGGGCATCGAGTTATTTTTGGAGAAAAGCACACAGGATCCAAATGTCCCACACTGTCCACGGGGAACTCTGGAAGATGATTTAAATGTTTTCCAGGGCTTATTAAGGATGGTAAAATGCAGTATGGGATGGCAAAAATATTTGCGTTTCCATCCCCATTAGTTTAAAAGTTTTATTTTTTTCCCCCATCGTTCCATGAAGCGGTGAGCATTTATCGTTAAAAAAAAAATCATGAGAATTTCGATTCATCATTGATTCAATAAATTTCAATTGACGATGTCTAATGAAACCACTCCAAAACTGACGGTATTATCAGAAATGTCATTCTTACTATTTTATCAACTATCTGTTTCGGTTCAAAAGAGCATGAATAAATGTCAATACTTTAAAACATGTGATTCAAAGTAGGTGCTGTGCAATTTAAATGGCATCCTGAAGAAGCACATTCAAATGGGAACATTTTTCAAGAAAAATATTAGTGGCACTATTGCAATCACAAACATATAGGTGCCTAAAAAATACATCGTTTTTTTTTTTATTATCCTTTTTATTCTTACAATAGTATGATCCCTAACCATCCATCATCTATTCGTGGAGCGATCCACTTATGTTAAGAATGGACTTAAAAGGAAAGCACGCTGGGAAACTGAGTCTGGAAAACTACTTAATTTTGAGAGGAAAAGTGTGTAGGAAGACTGAGGTCTGAATAGTGTGGAAGGTTTGTGTGTAGGACTGAACTTATCAGACGGTGCTACAAATTTGCTTATTTTATTTTTATTTTAGTCCTGATTATTATGTAATCCTCAGACAGAGGTCAACCTCATTAATTGGAATCACCACTAAAGCTTCGTCTCCCGAGCATCTCGCTTGTCGTTTTGAAACGCAGAGTTTTGAGCCGCCGGGTCAAAATATTCTGGCAGTGCATGCACTTTCATGTAATCCCCACGCTGCTTTGGAGACACTTTACAAGAAGCTACCAGCGTCTTGTCAGCATTATAGGATTGACCCCGTCGTTCTCCGCACTCCTTGGCATCTGAGTCTGTTTCAGGCCATCGTCTTGAGGAGTTTTTGAGGCTCTGACTCGTGCGGCCTGGAAATACGTGCACAAAGGAAGATGACTAAACATGTTCCTCATACTCTCTCTCAATGTCAGATCTACATCGCTCAAGCCACAAAGCCACACGTGGTTTTTGAAAAATCAATCTCAGATGTGCTGTAAATACGGTAGAATACACCAGAGAAAAAGGATTATAATTAGAAAAATGTAAGCTTTCCAGGGTTGCAGAACTTTTCAAAAGTATTTGTACTCCTTTAGCTTGTCAAACACAATCTGTTTTATCTGAATCCTATGCCTTAGACAAATAAAGTATTGCATGATTGTAAAGTATGCAATACTTCACAAGTATGAAGGGCAGTTTGTGAAGGGTAAGAAAAAGAATGCATGATTTTTTATTTTTTTTTAACATGTAAAAATCTGTAAAGTGTGGCATGCATTTGGATTTATTCAATCACCCAGAATAATTTGGGTGATTAAATAGCAGATTAGGTTGAATATGAATTTTCAGGTATTGTCAGATTCCCAGTTGGATGTAAGATTGGACTTTGACATGGCCATTCTAACGCATGAATATGATTTGATCTAAACCACTCTTTGTAACTTTGTATGTTCAGACTCGCTGTCCTAGTTAAAGTTTAACGTTCTCCCTGCAATCTGAACTCTTTTTCACCTCTAATACAGGATTCTCCTGTTTTTGGCTTTGTTAGTTCCTCTTCTTATCAACTCTGACTAGCATTCCCACATCATAATGCTGCCACCACCTTGTTACCCCGTGGCACTGTTTTGTGACAGTGTTTCTATGTTGGCTAAGATAATCTGTTTTTTTACTGTGTCCCTAATATATCTTGCGGCAAACTGTGAACTGTACTTATTTCAGTAATGGTTTCCTTCTTATCACTCTTCCATAACGGCCATATTGGTTTGTTTTCTACAATGGAAAAAAAAAAAAGTTTGAAAATAACATATTTTCCATCCTCCTCACATTTATGCACTAGATTGTGTCAGTGTGGCGCATAAGATCCCAATAAAATCTTTAAAAGTTTTGACCATTGTACTGCGACACAATGCAAAGAGGTTCTAAGGACTCGATTCTTTTACATGGCGTCGCTGCTGCTATTTTCAGTGCATATCTGTTGAGCCGTATCACCTTTTAAATCAGACCTGGAAGTAATTTAATGCAGATTGACAACCTGCATATTCCCTCATAAATAATTTACCAACACAAGCCCATTTTGCTGTAATTCTGCAGCTCTCTGTTATTTGTTTCAGTCTGATTTGATATACCATGAGTCATCCTCTGCAGCAGGAAGAGAAACTATGTAGCTTGGCTGCCAGAGATGTAAAATTTTCTTGGCATTTTTCCTAAGACACTCGCACTCACGCACTCACACACACACACACACACACACCCTCTATCGCCATTTCTTTTTATATGCGTCGATCTGCCTGCTGACTTTAATTTTCTTCTGTTGCCTGTTTCTTGTCTCTCTCTTTGCTCCAGAAAGAAACGCATTAAGACGGATGCGTTATCTCTTATTTCTGTTTATCTTGCTCTGCTCCCTCCCCCTCCCGCCCCACCTCTAGCACAGACCGGCTTTGTTGTTATTATCAGGGCAGCTTTTCTCTTTTTTTCAGTTTAATTTGGTGACTGTATGCTTTAAGAGTCGAGGCACAGCAAAAATACAACCAATGATTAGAATTTACATTTTCCAGGCTGAAGCTCTGGGTTCATTTTCCCTTTGAAATCATGGAACACAACACAATAAGCACATACAGAACTGGGGCCATTTGCATAACGTTATATGATTACTGGGGTTGAAAGCGTCTCTGCTCAGATAAAAGCCTGATTGAATCTGGAGGAATGCACTTCATATCTGGATAGCAGCTGCAGAGCGCTGTTCAAGAGGCTGCTGTGTGCGTGTGCGTGTGTGTGTGTGTGTTTAGTTTGTAATGCTGCAGTTAAAAAGCTGACATGTAAATTTAAAGCAGTCATTCTTTGGTTTGTTTTATTAGTCATTATTGAGATTGTTTTTTAATCGTTACATGCTGTATATTATGTTTCAGTCAGATTGAGCAGAGGGAGTCTGTGGACATATACTTTAAAGTTTTGCTAAAGATTTACTCTTACGTCTCACCATTGTGAGTCATGAAAAGATCTAAGCCATTAGATGTTCAGGGTTGCTAGACGTAAACCCTTGGCTGGGTCTTGGGGGTTTCGTTTTCAACCATTTAACTGATTTCTTTCTGGTATTGTCTTGTGTTTTGTCTTATCAATTTTTTGTTTTACATAAACTCTGACCATCTACTTTGTCCCAGCTGGACAGAAGTATCCCCACATTATAGTGCTTTCACCTCCAAGTGTCAACTTGTTGTTTTTGTCTAACCTGCTAAGTTAGCAGATTAACCAATTTTAGCATTTTTGCAAAAAAAAAAAAAATAGCATATTAGTTGAAGTCAGCCACGTTCTGGATCAGCTGCAGCTGTCTACGTATTTTTTTATTTTTTATTTTTTTGTATATCTATGAAGATATGACTAGTGGCATAGATTACTGTTGCAGTGATCAGTGCCACTAAAGATAAACACAATGATGGTTATTCCTTTATTCCTGGAAACGTTCTTTATGTGTCTCTGAAGGTTCAGGTCTGAGTTCATCACTGCTTCCAGTTTTCGGGCCAAAATTTCTTCCAGGAATTTTTCTGGTTACTTTTTATTGTTAAATTGAAATAAAACCGACATAAGTCAGTTTCAGCTAAACATATAGTATAACAAGCCCTCCAGTAAAATGCTGACATGGGCATCTCAAATTACAAAAGCAGTAATATCATTATCCAGTTGGTGGAGTGTCTGACTGCCTCTCTAAACAGTGAGTAAAGGTCATCAGACGTTAAGGATTCACGATATGCTGCAATTTCCTGACTCTTCAAATATAAAAGCCAACAAATAAGAAATGATACGTTCCAAACAGTCTTTTGACATGCTAATATTTTATATCTTAGTGATATATCACATAGCCCTACTTGTAATACAATGCTCTGCTACGGATGGCCCTATCTGCTGTCTGTGGTACCTGCAAGAGAGGAGCCTCCTTTATGTACCCTGCACTGGTATACAGCATTTCTTATGCTCTGAGCCAATAAGGGAATACCTTGATATGTGTATGTAGTTTCTTAAAACTTTTCAGCTTAATATAATACATCTTTAGCCTCCTGGATTTATTTGGATTTAATGGTTGACTGGTATAAACCAACACACCTACATACCTGGTGTTAGTCTTGTAGATTTAACTGACTGCTCCAAATCGCCTGAGAAGTGAGTGGTTGCCTCAACATTATGCTGCTGGAGGTGGCCATGAGAAGATGGTTTTACTTCGACTAGTTTTACTATGATATGGAATCGGATTTTAATTCCTTTTTTTTAAATAATTTTGTAAACGCTTGTGAGTTTGTCTGTGGTTAATTTGTTGTGAAAGTTTTGTTTTTCAAGGAATTGATGGTTGTTGTTTTTTTTTCAGTTTAGCTAATTAGTAGTTAGGATAAAAACACTAAACTTTTCATTTACATTTGAGAGCATCGCCTCATGTGCAGTTAGAATATTTTTTTTATTGTTTCATGGAACATTGAAAGTCTTCATTGACTTTGGATGCCCCAATATGAAAATTTGGGTCAGTATCGAGATTGAATGTTAATACTGATTTTATGACCCATAGCCTATATTTACCTATATCGTATATATTTCCTCACCGTTTTGACACATTTGGAAAAAATATACTCAAAGTAACAGACAGCAACAAGATGGAAATAAATATGGGTTGTTAATATTGGTAGTTTTTTGTGGGCTGATACTGATATGTTAAAGTTACTCATATAGACAGATACTGATGTTACTGCCGATATATCGTGCATCCCTAATTGTGACATTATAACATATGACTGGTTGTTTAAAAATATCTGGATGATTGCCCAGAATATTGGAATTGGTGTGCTCCAACTTTGAACTCTTTCTAATCTTGATGTTTTCCAGGATGTTCCAGCAGAGTGAGGAGCCTCGCTTCACCATCGAACAGATCGATCTCCTCCAGAGGCTCCGGCGGACCGGCATCACTCAGGTGGAAGTCCTCCACGCCCTGGACACACTCGATCACTTGGACCGACAGAATGGCCACAAGCAGACCCGCAAAGCTTCCTACCTGCCGCCCTCGTCTTCCTTGTCTTCCTCCAACTCCGTCTCTGCCTCTTCGTCCACCACTTCCGCCTCCACTCAGACGGTTTTTCCGGACAACCGACTCTCCCTGTCACCTGGCAACAACCTGGACACCGCCTCCCCGCCTCTGCCGGTCCCGACAGCCTCGCCGGTTGTTGTCCAGAATGGACTTGGTGCCGTTGCCAACGGGAAGCTTTCTCCACCGCGGTTTTCTCTGGCGGTGGTCGGAGGCAGCGTGACTGCACCGGGCTTTGGGTTTGAGGCCAGTGAGGAAGACTTGGATCTGGATGATAAAGTGGAGTTCTTGATGAGGTAAGATGTGACCAGACTTACAAGAAGACAAACCAATTTAAAAAAAGAGCCAGATCAAAAGAAAACCAAATGTAGCCATCAACATAGTAATTGAACCAAAGAAGAAGAACCAAATCCAAAAGTCTTTGATAAAAATAAAGTTTTTAAGTGCAGTCTGAAAGAGATGAACAGTTTTAAAGAATATTAGGGATGGGTGATAAATCATTTTTATTGATTTTAATTGAATTTTTGATTGTTAAAGATTTTATTTTTAGAAAATCTGGATTTGTTTTCTTTTTCCATTAATGCACTCCTTGAGTTTCCATAATTCAGAGTCATGTCAGCATGCTCAAGGCGGCCATCTGGTTTGTCAGATTGTATCTATTTGTTGGACTTTGAATTCAGGTCAACTTTTAAGACAATTTTACTTGTGTAATAGTGGCCTTAATCTGCTAATATCATATAATCAATTTTTAATAATTAAACAAAAATATTCAGAGCCCAACCCTGATACTCCATCGTTCCATTGCTTTCTGTCACTTAAAGAAAGCAATGATGGAAATAAAAGCCACTTTTTGAATTTTGAGGGTTTTTTTGTTTTTTTTCTTCTTTTTTTTAGAAAAGAAAGCGAGAAAAAAAAATCAGAATCAGATCTGGTTAAAAAAAATTTAGATGTTATTTTTAAGCAGTATCGCCCATCCCTGGTAGATAAAGCCGCATTCAGTCAGAGGCTCATATCAGTCTGAATCACACACACACGCGCGCGTACTCTGATGCGTCTCATCTGCAGTCTGCAGCCGGGCCGCAGCATCTCGGTAGTATTGATTTGAAAATGTGTAAAGATGAATTCAAACTAGAGGCAGAGCAAACAACATTACCTTCACACATCCTCACACCTATACACATTTTTACACACTGTTTCTGCTACCTGCATACTATAAGTGTGAACTAATGTTCTCCTCTGATGTTGTAGATTTAGATAGGTTTTGTACTTTGTGGCTGTGTATTGTAGGAGGGACAGCAGTGTGATCAAAGAGGAGATCAAGTCCTTCCTGGCGAACAGACGGATCTCCCAGGCCGTGGTTGCTCAGGTAACAGGTGAGTGTTGGGCCGACGAAACACTAGAGTACACAAAAAACAGTAGTTGACAAGCCCTGCCGAGTGACACAAAGTCGTCATCCTCCAGGGATCAGTCAGAGTCGGATCTCCCACTGGCTTCTCCAGCAAGGGTCGGACCTCAGCGAGCAGAAGAAACGGGCCTTCTTTCGCTGGTACCAGCTGGAGAAGACAAACCCCGGTAACCACGTGTGAACAAGAACCTTCTTAATGTGGGTCCGGCTTAAACTTCTGCAAGCTAACAATCTGCGTAACAACAGGCGCCACTCTGGCCATGCGGGCGGCCCCGCTGGCTCTGGAGGACATGATGGACTGGCACCAGACCCCCCCACCGTTCGCCTCGGCCCCCGGGGGCTTCCGGCTGAGACGGGGCAGCAGATTCACCTGGAGGAAGGAGTGTCTGGCTGTCATGGAGAGGTGGGCAACAAAAACAAGATTTTACAGTAGCTTGTGCTTCCTGTTGGAAGCTTTGAGTGTTCGTATAAACGTACAGCCATATTCAATAAATTAGAATATGGGACCCAGTGAAGCTCATTTAAACGTGTCAAGTTCAGCAGGCATTAAACTAAATTCTTATTAAGGCTACAGTTCTGTATTAAAACTGTTTTTTGGTAATATTCTAATTTTAAAGTCATGTCTTTATTAACTGTAAACAAAACATAATCATAATTAACAGATTTAAATTAAGCTCCATCTGTGTGTAATTACTCTGTTCACTGAGTGATAAGTTCCTGCAATAAATGAACTTTTCAATAATATTCTTATTTATCTAATGGATCTATAGACATGTTGCAGTGTGAAGTCGTTCGCACAAGATCAACAAAACTACTAGCCACTGATGACTACCGTTGGTTTTAGCTGTCAAATTGTCAGCATAATGCGCTGAATCTTAAATGTATGGCTGATATATATATTTTTTAAAAAAAGAAGGCAGTGCTTTGCTACTAATTATCAGTATATCAAAAACTAGATAACAAGGACCAAGGGTATCGCATTTCACAGGTCAGTGAAAAGTTTTAATATAAAAAAAATGGCTTGTGTAGGTCAACTGTGCTAGCTTGACTTTGACAACCCTAACATGTAGATGTGCTGTGGAACTCCGTTTGGTTTGGTTCATTGAACAAAAAGGTGATCCACACACCAACTCTGACAGATCATCAGTGGAGCAGGTGCTTAAATTAGCTAATCCAGCACAGCAGTGTTCATACAATCACTTCTTAATAATCACAAAATTAACATCGAGCCCATAATGTAAAGTTCTGGATGTTCTTTGTGTGAGAAACGTTTGCGTGTTTTTTGGGGTTTTTTGGTGTTGAATCCTGTGGAGGTGTTGTCAGTCACAACAGGTCTGTGTGTCATACAGCCAACACAGAGATTGTGAAAAACAAAGAATAGGAGTGGTTTCGAGTGGTTCATGGGTTTTTCTGTGTTTTTCCCCTTTGCTGAGGCACACTGCACTGAATTAATAGTACCTACATCTCCAGGTTTCATTTTGTTAACAGCATTGATCTACCGCAGCAGTGCGGCTATGGATGGCATGTTAAAGAATCATGCCATCCATAGCCAGTATTGTGTGCAAGCGCCAAATTTCCAGCTATAAACTTTGACATGCAACTTGTCTATATATTCAAGTCTGTGGCTGTGCTATGACATGCACAGCACAGCCACACTGTGGCTGATTGCAGGTACAGTGAAAGAACTTGCCTGTAATGAATGTGATTATGTACAAACAGCTACTTCAGTGATAACCAGTATCCCGACGAAGCAAAGAGGGAGGAGATTGCTACTGCCTGCAATGCTGTCATTCAAAAACCAGGTATTATTTTCCCCACTTTAATTTACCACAAACTGTTTGACTGCATCATACTTTGTATTGTAATCGTGGAGACAATGGAGCAGGACGTTCAGAGGTCATGTATCTGTGTGTGTGTGTGTGTGTGTGTGTGTGTGTGTGTGTGTGTGTGTGTGTGTGTGTTTGTGTGTGTGTGTGTGTGTGGCAGGAAAGAAGCTGTCTGATTTGGAGAGAGTTACATCTCTTAAGGTCTACAACTGGTTCGCCAACCGCCGTAAAGACATCAAGAGACGTGCCAACATAGGTAATGTTTACTTCTGTGTTTGTATTAGATGCTCATGCATTTATACTAGAGTGCACTACATTTTAGATGTTATCTAGTTTCCCAACTGTTGATATTTTACTATTTTTACTTCAAGACTTTTAGAATAGTACTAATAATTTTATTTAAATGTGAATTTATTTATTTCTTCTAGAGACAGTGCATGTCTCTCTACATTTACCAGAGTTAGCCAGAAGGCTATTTTTCACCGGCAGTCCTCAAACATTTGGTAAAAGTAAGAGAAATAAAAGTAAAACTGCATAATTACATAAACAAAATGACAACTACGATGCACTTAGTAAAAATACTAAAAACTAGAATGCGCATAAAAAACACATAGACAAACTACAAGGCAAGATGACAGCAGAGGGGAGCAAGAGCTAATCAAAATGACACAATATTATATTATTATTATATCATAATATCAGACATTTTTTAAAGTGCTACAAATGACAATAAAATATGTGAAATCTTATTTTTAATAATCCCTTCATCAGTTCAAAAATATCATTTGATTACATAACACATTATCTAAGTATATTCAAAATGTCATTGTGGATGGTGATGCTGTGGGCAGGAAGGATTTCTGGTAGCTGTCAGTCTTGCAACAACTCTGAAGAAGCCTCTGACTGAAGACTGTGCGGCAGCTTCATGACCATCACGATACGCCAACAGCTCAATTTCAGGGCAGCAGAGACAATATTCACCAGTATCATGTTCTGGATGACAACATCAGTTATCTAGCTCTGCTAACCTGCCCCATTTGCTTTTGCCGCTCCTCTTGAAACCTCTGTCTGGCTGTTAGAAAGCCGAGCATCTCTTTGGCCCTGCTCTGCTTTTCAACTCCCCTGGGTTCTGGGGTCATAGTTCAGGTATTATTTAAGCTTTTTAGAAGCTTCTCCCACTTGTAAAAAACAACAATTATCCCCTTTGGTTTTCCAGCTGCCCAACATCCAAAACCAGAGGGGATAATTGTCCAAACGTGCAGCGACTGCCACAACACCAGCGCAATTCTAGTAAAACCTCAAGTTTAAAAACCTTAACTCCACATGTCAAAAAGTCCTAAATATGTCCAGTTTTATTCTTGTAAATCAGGTTTAGATATGAATTAGAGCTGTGCTGAATAATCTGGGCCTCACATGAATTCACTGTGACTAAACACCTAAGCAATTAGCCCCCTCAAACATTCCTCCTTTCCCACAGACCTGTGAAATAATTCTGCCCCCTTATAAAAATGTGAATATAAGCAATTAAATCCAATAGTTGTTTAAAACATGCCATTAACACCTGAAGCTCATGATATACTGAAGGGAGGTGTTGAAAGCTAGAAAAGCACTGGAAACTCTCAGTTTAGGTTGTGATTCTACTATAAAGTTTGGAAAATATAATTTATTGTGTAACTAACATGCATGTGTAATATTTGAGAAGCTGACTGAGCATTCTCAAAACACTGGAGAATGCAGTGCTTTTAGAGCCGGCCCCTCCCTCCTTGCCTTTTACTCTTGCCGCTCGTTCAGCTTCGATATGCTATGATAAGGTTTGTGTTTTTGAAGAAGCAGCCATCTTAGAGAGCCATGGCATCGAGGTCGAAAGTCCAGGAGGCCAGTCCAACGGCGACGAGGTGGACGGCAACGACTTCCCCGACCAGGTGAGCTGGACCTCCACGGCACCGCCATGTTTAATGCAGCGTGTAATTAACCTGTTGCGTGTTTCAGGGCTGCGACGTGTCCCTGTTTGACAAGAGAGCTTCGGCCAGGCAGTTTGCTTTTAGTCGAGCTGACCTGTCCTCTCCCACCCAGGTAACTATTAGTTTTCAACGACTAGTTGTGATTAATTGTTGACTAATTCAGCAGTCAATTAATTGTTGACTGGAGTATAAAGACTCTTTGAAAAAAAATAAAAGAGCAGTAGCTGTACAAAGATATGCATCTTTTGGATTCATGATATAAAGAAAAATCTTTGTAAACTTTGAACTCAAGTGGCAGTTTGAGCTTTGCCTGATTCAAATTCTGCAAAAAAGTAAAATAAAATTGAGCACCTGTTGCAATTATTGAAAACATAAACAGAGCAACACTACACAGTATTGTTTTGCTCTTTGTTGCTGCAATAAGATGTTTTTCTTTTTCAAAAAAAAAGTTGAATTGTTTCATTTGCGTCTTCTAACATTGTAAAGTGGCTAAGCGGAAACTCTGCAGAATGTGGCTATTTACTTTTATACGATTAATTGAAATTGATTATTGATTGATTATACGATTAATTGAAAGAATCGTTAGTTACAGTCCTGGTAAGCAAACAATCCCGGCATCTGCTGACCGTCTCCCTAACGGTTCCCCTTCATCAGGTTCCGCCGCAGCTGCCCAGCTGGTTCTCCGCTCTGGCCCGGGGAGGCCAGCGGGGCGCCTCGCTGATCGGCCGCTCCCTCCTGTCGGGGGCGGGCTCTCAGGCAGAAGGGTCCAGAATGACGGGCGCGTCCTGGTCCCCCCCGTCCCCGTCCCTCCAGGACGACCCCGGCCTCCACGTCGTGCTCTCCGAACCGCAGGACACGGTGACGTCGGAGAAGACGGCGGCCGGCCGCGCCAGCCCGGCCTCGGCCAATCAGGCGGACGCGGGGAATCAGATCAAGATGGAAAGCGTGGATGACGACTGACGGAGGAGGAAACCGTCAGACGCTGGAGCTGTCAGAACAGGTGTCCATTATATGCAAGCAGATTTTATAGGAATGTTATAAGTGAACAAAAAGACCAAACGTTGTGTAAAACTCCAACCCTGAGATACCTCCCAACCCTACCTCCAACCACCAACCTACTCTGCTACACTCGTTTAGCTGTTAATAGTGTAATATGATGATAACCACGAACCTTTATACGTTCGCCGTCTCTGGCCATCCGCAGGAGATTCAAACCTGCGTCTCAGATCAGATCCTGCAAAGAAAAGTCGTTTTCTCTGAAAACCTCCGGCTCCGACGCTCCCAGGGAAACGGCCCGAATGGTCCCGGGCCATTTCTTTGCTGGCTTGTTTTCGATTGGAGGCGGGTTTAATTCTTCCCCGGATGGCCGTCCGGTGGGACATGAAGCCTCGTGTGCAGGCTTCCGTAGAAGACTGCGTCACTCACAGCAGGGCTACGCTGTATTTGGCTTGGGAATCAAATGCTTTCAGGGGTCTTGCACTGTGATTTCAACTGAACAGCCTCAGTGTATAGGAATATAAAAATGAGCTTCATGTTTTTCTTTTTTTCTTCCTTATTTTTACTGAATCTTTTATGGTGATCGTCGTCGCATTTCACGCCAGATTTCTGGCTGATGAATCCGTGTGGGCACAGAACAAGCTTGAGGTTGCAGCAGTTTTTATGATAATAAAAGTAATTATTTTCAGAGAGGCAGAAGCAGAATAATCCCCCCAACCCCGCAGAGTAAGCTTTATATATAATAACTAAACTGGCTATAAAATATAGATACATTTAAAGAGCATCTTGGTTGCTGTGTCTTTGCAATATATTCACAACCCTTGAAGCTTTTCATATTTTGTCAGATTACAACCACTATATTTAATGCTGTTTTATTGGGGTTTTAATGCACCGATTTACAAATTTGTGCCAATATTGATGTCTGATATAAATAATACTGCTACGGCCGATAAATGATATTACCCGATATAGAAAACTTGCTAAGCTCGGGGCGCTAGGATAGTCAGCCACAGTCATCCTGCCATATTTTTATGTTTATAGTTGACAGAAAATTTGAAAATGTAACTTTATAGTTATGCGTTATTGGAAGACTGACCTTACACCAACTGTAAGGTCTTTAAAAAAAGGCAATCATTAAAAAAAAAACTCTCAACTAAATTAGCAATGCTCAGCCTGGTGGCCCGCCAGGCTGAGGGAAACCCTGTATTTTATGACGTCGCTCTGAGCCCAGAGCATAGAATTGGACTGAATTGGTCTACCCTGACGGATGAGGCACATCGTCACAGATATCCTTTATTTTATTTTATTTAATTTATTTTTTTTCCCCAATATCAGAACAGGGTAGTGGCAGCGTCATGCTCTGGATATTTTTTTATTTCCTCCAGGAACAGGGAAGTCTTTTAACCAAATCAATTTTATAGTGAACCTCAACATAGGAAAATACTTCTACGACTTTTCACCAGTGTTGAGTTAAAAGCTTTTTATGTCTAAAACTTTTTCCACAGTTCCCACATGAAAACGGCTTTTCACCGGTGTGAATCATCATGTGTTTAGCTAAATTCTGTTTCTGAGTAAAACTTTTTCCACAGTTCCACTACAATTTGTTGGTGTATCACATAGAATACGCCATAAATATCCTGCCATTTGTGGCTGCAACCAACACAACGTGAAAGAAAAGAATCACGGGGTGTGAATACTTTTGCAAGGCCACGCATAAAATGTAACGCTAAATATAGTTTAAACATTTTCTCACTGACTTTAAAATATCTAAGAAAAAGACAAAAGAAAAACCGCTTTCATATTTTAGAGTCTAACTTCAGATACTTTGATTGTTTTTTTGTTTTATTTTCTTCAGCTGATCTGAGACTTTATTTGTTTTAATGCACTGCTTCCACAAGCCCATCAGAAACTAAATAGGAATTTAAGCTGCATTAAAAACAGCTGCTCAGAGTATTTTAAGGCTATAAATTTAAGCGATATTTATGAACGTGATATTCAGTAGATACAAAAAAAAGAAAAAAAAACCCTCAGTATTCACTTCTTAGATTTTATTGCGACCCGAAGAAAGCCAAAACTACAAACGTTTGTATATAATATAGCCATGTAAAGCGACTTTTGAAGTTCGATCGGTTATTATTTATTGGTTTTGTATCCGAGAATGATTGATCACTGTGAGATCTGCCTTCCGACGTAGGACGGATGGATTCAGCCCGTTTTAGAAACTACACACGGAACGCGAGCTGAACGGAACGCGAGCTGAAAACCTACACAAAGCGTGTAAGTAGGTGTGCGCGCACACACACATCCATATGGTATACTTTATCTAACAATATATAAACATATAAGCATCTATCGAGAGGAACTATCAGCCTGAGTTAGTGTTGTCGTTGAAAGGTGCGTGGAACATTAGCCAAAGTATTGAGTTTTATTATCGGTGTATTTTTGACGTGTGTTATAGTTACGGATGGCTCTAAATGACCGAGACATGCTAATCAAAACGGCACATCAGATGTGTCAAATAATCATGTGAATTACATCATCTTCCTATTTTTGTTTCATCTTTGATTTTTAATTATTTTATGTTGTTTTTGTTTTTTTGGTATGTCTGTGCGTCCTCTGGGTGTGCCGTGCGTTTTAAACGCATACTGCCACAAAGTCGTTGCATTAATCTGTTTTCTTGTTTTCGTGTTAGTGACACTTTATTGAACACGACGGTGCTTAGAGTCCCAGCTGTTTGTCACTTTCAGTGATCACTTTGAGTGAACGACAGAGCAGCAGCAGTAGGGAGAGAAAAATGATGCTTGCTAACCTCCCTCGGTTTCTCTCTCTCCGTCTCTCAGCCGTCAAATCACTGAGAAGCGCTCTTCAGCTCTTAAAAACGTATATTGAAACAAACAAAAAAGTTTAATATAATATCTGAACGTACAGCCATTGTGGAAGTCTGCCATGCTTTTAGCTTCTTGTCTGACTGGTTAGTTTTAAACTCTGCATTCTTTTAATGACCACCAGAGGGCAGGTTTGAGTGAAGCGGCGCCCAAAATGAAGCACCAGCAGCAGTGGGAACATTTTTTATTATGGTGTCATTGTAACAAATGATGAGGAGTGAGCTGGTTATTAAAAAGTGCAACACTATAAATACATAATAATGAATACATAATAACACTGTTGAAAAGTTGCTGTTTCCTTCTGAAACAACTGTTCATTAGAAGTATTAACCGTCTAAAGCTGTCTGGCCGGGGAAGTTGTGGTCACTGGCTGGTTGTTAGAAATCAAGTCGAGATGTTTTAGCAAGTTACTAAATGTTCACAAAACTACACACAAAACCAGCAGAGAAAAACAACAGTGTTACTGGTTTAGCGTCACTGCTACATAACTAGATCCTCGGATAACTCTAAAAGAGAGACTTTTTTTTTTTTGAATAATTGAGTCTTGTTGCCAATAAGAACGGAAATTCCAAGCTCCAGTTACAATAAAAACGGCTCATTTTTGCTGTAACGAGCCGGTTGCTACAGGGGACCGTTTTATGATTCTTCCCAAACACTGCTGCAGCTCACGCTGGTTGTTTTTGTGACGGCAGCACTCTGTGGTGGTTGGTAAACAACTCGGTGCACGACCTAACGGAGCAACGTTAGCGGTGAAGGGAAAGCCCACCCAGCCGTGCGCCAATCATTTTGGCAGTCGGCTAAAAAAAAAAGGCACAAAAAGGTCAGAATACTAAATGTGGGCTAGACTTCTACTTGGCTTCTATTTTTATTTTTATGGGAGCTCCAAATTGTTCCTGACCTTTTAAAAAAATTAAAAAAAGTCCTACATCCACTACCACTGGGATAAAACATTTGGTTTGGGTTAAATTGTGATGCAGCTGGCCCGAATCATTATCGTCTCTGCACCAAGGGATTCATAAGAGAAAGTCAAATGGATTTTACCAAGGGCAACTTGAGCAGGAAAACAGATGTAAAACACTAGGAGTTTATTATGCTTCCCAACATCCCCAGTCAGTAAGAACTTATAAGAATATTGTCCTGGTTTGTAACTGTAGTGGTAACTTAGTTTCCAGTTTTAAATAATGAGCTGAGAAATTTAATGATAAACTGGGAGGTAAGCCAGTTCAGGTTGGGAAAAAGTCGCAAAGTTTACTGGAAATGCACCGATTATTCAGCCAGAGATCAGAATCGGCTGGTTCAATAGTAAAAGAAATCAAACTTTTTTTCCCCTAATCATCAAAAGTAAAAACTCCCACCATTAAACACAACCTGCTGCTTGTGCCTTCATGGACTTCTTGTGTTTAGCTAAAAGTAGGTGAATGCTAGAAGCTAACAATTTTAAGGAATTCTGGATAGTTTAAAAATTTACTTAGTCAAATCAAAATGGTGACCACTATCAACCTTTAACCTCAAAGTCCAAATCAGTTCAAATCAGAATCACCAGGTAAAGTGGAAACCGCTTCATGCAAGTCTTCATTTTCGTATTTCGATCATCGGATGTTTCAGTACATCCAGTATGTCTTTGAGCAAACGGGCTTCTATAATGGCCGTACATTCGAAGCGGTCCGTTGCTTTTCAGTGACGTAAAGGCCGACTTCTTATTTTAGAGTAAAACATTGACACGGATACCTCAGACACTCCCCGTTACTCTGCTGCTGCTGCTATTTCCACTTCTTTTTAGACTTTTAAATGAAAAACCAGATCAGAGAACGGTCTCGCTGTCGGAAAACTGTGATGAAGTTCTTCAAAAGAAATAAATGAAAAAAACATACGTGATGCTGGTGGAAACCGCTTCTCCAAGCAGGTTGGATAAATCTAAAACTGATAGTAAAGGGACGTTGTACTCCAGTAAATGAGTTGTTCAAATCCTTCCTGATGTGGGAGATTTCAACACGAATCCTCAGTGTTTTCCATTTTTGTGACAGCAGAGCTGTCCGTCTTTGCTTTAAGCGTTAGTGGCATTATCAGTTATGTAGCTCTCCATCATCTTTTTTATTATTTACACCAAAAACCTTTTTTTTTTATGTTTGTTTTTGTTTAAATCTGCTTAGCAGAAACCTTTGTGAAAGGAAGCTAGTTGTTAGTTTAGGAAAACAAAATCTGCTGTCATGAGATTATTTGAGTCATTTCATTCGCTGCCGACGTGGCAGACTTACTGGGGTCTGGTGTTGCCATTTTGAAATTATTCAAACTAAAGGACATGTACTGTATCTGTTGAAAACAGGAGAGGACTACATGAAAGGGATTTGAGCAAACTGGTTCTAGATTATGGGATCTTTCCTCATGTTGGAAAAGAGAAAATGGAGTGGATCGTTCATTGAGAACATTGTGTTGCAGAAATAGACAAATTACTGATTTATTTGCCAGTATTTAAAATAAGCTAACCCCCCTCCCTCCTTCTCCCCATCGGTTTCCTATTTTCAGCCTCAACCTGTTTTCATTGTGTTGATTTAGGTTCTGTGTCCTGATGACCGTTTTGTGCCAGAACGTGATGTAATCACTGAGTTGTTGTGAAAAGAAAACCCGCGTCCAGAGGTTTTTGCTCTTCCAGTTCCATCTGATCTGTATGGATGTTTGTCGAGTCTTTTTTTTTTTTTTTTTGTCATTTGTACAAATGCAGGTCAACGTCTGCCTTCAATCGTGTTCATATCTGAACATTGTTCAGATGAAAACAGTTTTCTACATGTACATCTTTCATGCGGTTGTCATTTACTGTGTAATTCTCCAGCCTTAAACCTTCTCATGACATTAGCCAGGGACTGGAAATGCTACACTTCCTCTAGCAGTTTTAGAAAACCCGATGGCTGTCTCCATCGGTCTGGCAATAAGCTCTTCAACACATCTCTGTAAAACAAAAATAGAAAACCTCAACTGGATGGATGTTGGATCAGTTTTTTTTTTTTTTTTTTAATCCCCTTGTTCATTTCTATTTCAAGATTTAGTGCCTTTTTTGGACAAGTAGACTGTTGTGTAATTGCTATGTAGAAAATCTACATATGCCTTTTGTTACTTTTTCATCTGTTCAATAAACCTTGATTTGTTATTTTTAAGGTGTGTTTTTATCAATATTCTATTTACAAGGGAATAAAAGCTGATCAGACTCGATGCTCTGTGTCGCTGCATTTCTTACGTGGCGCGTAGAACAGCAGCCATGAAACGACATGAGGTCTTGATTTTGAGCAGGGCATTTCAACACATTAGACACAGTTTCAGCTTCGACCTGAAACTGTTCCATCTCAGCTGTGGACCTGGTGAGTCGCCACCGCTTGTGTCTCAGACCCTGATGAAGAAACGCCTCCGCAGCCTTTCACTGCAATGTCAGTTTACCTGTGGATCTCAAACATGAGATTTTACTGTTTTTGCTTACAGTACAAATAATGTATTAATATTAAACCTATTAAGTAAATGTCAGCACTAAATATATGTTCCTTTAAGCCCCTTTTAGTCTTATTGTCACCAAGTTGCTTTACATCTTCGTTCTGCAGCAGAAGAGGGTCATATCGGAACCACATTGGTGTCATCTAGTGGTCGGAGTGTGAATAACACCCACTTTTGATGGAAGTGCTGTTTTTTTTTTTTTTTTCTTTTTAAAGGATTTTTTTTGACTGTCATGGCCTTTTGACCTCCAATCAGTAATTGTCCCAAATTGGAATCCAGGCTTTAGCTACTTCAGAGCAGAAAGAAATAAAAAGCAAAAGTTACATCACACACACCAAACAAGAAAATCCTCTTTTTTTTTATTCTTAATCTATCTACTCTTCAGATGATTAAAAATGAAAATAAATGTATTATAATACATGTTTATTCTTTGGATTGCAGCATAAAATTACATAAAACAATTAAATTAATCAAAACCCAAACTTGTGCTCAGATTTCTCTCTTTTATAAGTCTTTATATGCGCATATGTACGTACGTACACACACACATACACACACACACAGAGTACAAACACAGAAATGATGCAGGCAGACATTCCTGCTCCACACAATCAACAGCAGCAGTGACTGATCATGATTTCTCACAATGATAATAGTAATACTGTTGACCGGGCCGAGGCCACGTTAAAAACAAACAGCCGAGCATTAAAGTTCATCCTCAGTTACATGAGGGGAAAGTTAACCTTCACACTCTTACGAGCACTTCATCGTTATGCAAGCCAGGTAAATATGGTTGGAGAAACACAGACGAGAAAATAACCCAAACAGGAGATGGAGCTGAAATTTATTGAAATGGTGGGACGCTGCGCCTGGCAGCTCTGTATTGCTTGTTCTTTTTGATGTTCGAGAACACGCTGAAGCTGGTAGGAACACACTGGAGCAAGGACTGAGGTAGTTCAAAGGTTAAAATAAACTTCCAATTCTGTTTTAGCCACAAAAAAAAAAAAAAAAAAAAAAAAAAAAAAATTCATCCTGAAACTAGATTTTATCTGATATGGTCCTGGGTCGGTGTGACTCCCATTTTTTTTTTTTTTTGTCGTTTTTTTTCCTGGTTGCAGCTAAAATTCCCAGCATGGAAGACAAACCCCTCCATTTTCTGGCTGAGGTGTTCAAAGCAGCCACTAGGGGGCGAATCTAGGCAAACTCCTTCAGTGGGAAACAGGCAGTGATGAACCTGACAGCTCCTGAGACCAAAAGGAAACCAAAGTGGGCTCTTATTCATTTGTAAACAACCCGCAAAGATGGACAGTTTGCTGAAAGTTTAACATAATAAACCGCACCTTTATATATATATATATAGATATATATATAGAGAGAGAGAACTATGACTGCTCAGCTGGAAATTGCTCTGCATTCAGGCTGAAGGCCACATTGGAGGCAGGGGGCTGCACTCGGAACACGATGAACAAAATAAAATAAAAAAAGGAAACGGTGTGAAGGTCTGAAGGCTCAAAGACTCAATATGCAGAATCCAAACGGGAATAAAAATAGAACAAAGTGCCTCTCATGGCTGATAAAGGCCCATAAATAACACTGGCGTGGCACCAGTGTAAACACAAACAACCATTTCATTGTGTTCAAATGTCCTTTTGTTGCTCTAAATCCACTCAGAGGTCACAGTTCATCCATACTTTGGGATCCTACAAGCCTTGTTTATACAGAGGACTGTTTGCTGTAGCTGAGCTTAGCTCTGCTTTTAGGTAAAACAAGAACATTAAGTGTTTTTTTTTCCTTAACTTAAATAGAAGAGCTCGCAGCTCCAGAACACGGAGCGGAAAAACAAAAATCCCAAACAGGTTCGTCGTTTCCATCCAAGAGTTGCACATTTTTCTCCCCTCTGTGCGAAGCGCGGCCGATATAACCCGACGTGTGAAAGAAACGCGGTTTCTGAGGCACAGCAACAAAAAGAAACAACCGGGCGTCTGAAGTGATCTCAGCCCCCCCGGCCCCTTCCCCACGGCAACCGTCTCTGAGGCCGGACTGGGAAAGGAAGGTCCAGCGCAGCGCTGTGCTGCAGCACCGCAGTGCTGCAGCACCGCAGCCTGCAGGAAGCAGCTGGTGATCGTTTTCCATCAGAGCGGAGCTGCACAACATTTCTTCACACACACACACACACACACACACACACACACACACACACACACACACACACACACACACACACACACACACACACACACACACACACACACACAGCAGAAAACTTACTGCCTTTCCTTCAGAACCACCTGTTAGAACCAGAAACTTACAAAACAGTCAAATCTCCCGACCAATCAGAGAACTCCAAAACGTCAGGCTAAACAACAGCTGCATTAGTCACGGGCCTGTCAGCAGCCTGGTTGTGTGATAGTTGCAAATATTGTGGCGTTAACATTAAAATCAAACTTCAAAGCACTGATTAGGACAGTAGTACTGTTAGTTAAAACTTATTATTTCTGAAACTATTCAAATGAGCAGAATCTTATTGCTTTTGCATCACTTCGGTCCAAAGTAATATTTGGAGTATGTGTAGTTGAGATGAGTCTGAACTGGAAGGGATCTGCCCCACTGAACCGCCATCTTGGTAGGCAAGCGCAGCACCAAGCACAGATGAACCATAGCAAAAAAAAAGTCTACAGAGAAAAAGTTTATGACTTAATAGTTGTAAATTACGTGTAATGTTTATAAGTCAGATGAGAACTATGTATTAGAAGCTAAAGGTAATATTAGCCTCTTTAGTTGGGCTATCTGCTAAGGTAGCTCCTGTTAACTTGTTAACTGTAGTCTTTAAAAAATGTTTCATAAATAAAAGTGATTGGCATTACTTCTTCAGGTTCCATACGATTACCCGTGTTTGTTATAACCATCTTTTCAAACAGCTTAACATTTGCGTGAAGGATGCACGATATATCGACATCAACATCGACGTCAGACAATGTTAGTCATTTTTTAAACTGAAATCAGTAAAACTGGGTTGATATTAAAGAGCCATGTCTATTTTCATCTTATTCCTGTTTGTGCATGATGTTCTGGGCTCCGATATTATTTATGAGTGATACAGGGAAATATCGGTTAATATTATCGGCCCAAACTTTTACATTGGTGCATCCCCAATTTTTTATGTAGGCATGGAAAAGTGGAGAAGCGTAATTACGTGCTAATCAAAAACTCCAGTCGTTATTGCCCGTTTATTATTTACCGAGCATATTTGTTAAATGCTTCATTAAAAGTTCACACCATAAATGTTTAAAACCTTTCTGCACCTCGTTAATGGTGAATGGCCACAACTAAGATGCGCAAATCATAAACTGAACTCTGGTGACGAACGTTATTGCAGATTCAACATTAAAAACGCCTCTTTCCATATGAGAACATCGTCCTCACCACCGTCTCTTCCCTGCTCACAAGACAAAGTGCCTCAACATTAGCTAAGGACTACGAACCACGCGAAGCACCACCCCTTAGCTTTTTCAAAACAATTAAAATCCATCCAAGCGCACAGCAAGAGACGGAGAGAAACAAAAACCAACCGATTCATTTACAAGTCTATTTACAACGCTCATAGCAGCAATCCTCCTCAAATCATTGTGCAATAATCATTCCAATAAAACAACCTCATCAGCTCGCGTGCGATAAAAGCAAGTGTACAAGCAACCCGATATAAATACTTATTGCTCACCTCTCAAGTAAAGAACACGCAATTATAAAACAGATGAAATGAGACAAAACATCTTCACCCCGTCAATGTCAGAGATTCTTAGTGTGCAGAGCCAGTCACAGATTTACAGGCACTGTCCATCAGCATGGAGCCCGGTTTTAAATCGAGGGTTTTATTGATGCACTTACATGTTTTTGCACCAATGATTTCTTATTAACGATCACAAAACGACTATCAAAGTTGAAAACATAAAACAGTACCAACAGACTTACGGTTCTGCTCTTTGTGTGGGAAATGTTTGCACACGTTTTTGGTATTGAATCCTCAGACCTTAGAGAGCGAGAAACAATCTGGGGTTATTGTCCAATGTTTTTTTTCTGCATTATGTTTCCCTTCGTTGTGTCGCTCGGCACCAAATTAATCATAGGTTTCATCTTGCACATGAAACTGCTCTACGCGCTGCTGTGGATGCCACAAAGAATCATCTGTTTGCCCTCCAAAATCGGGCTCCAACTTTCCAGAGGCAAGACAACGGGGCCAAATTCATTGAAGTTATTCTACCGTGTAAAAATTATTTGTTAAATGCTTCATTAAAAGTTCAGCACGAAAATGAAATTTGCCCTGATGAAGAGTGAATATAAAACTCTGACCGGCAGTGATCACCGCAGGAACAGACAGTGAGGACAGACGGACGCGTCCAGAATCACAACCCCGGCTGTCATCACCAGCTGTGCTAACAGAAGGACAAAGCGTCCCTGGACAGATGAAACATTCCTCTTCCATCTTTATGTCAAACTCGTCCCATCAGCCCCCTCTTGGTGACACAACAATGCTCCAATGCTTTACGTGTTGCCCTCTGACCTCAGTAGAGAAGAAACGCTTGGTTAAAAAGGTGGAGTGGCCCTTTATCTAGCTGTACGTCTAGTAGAGTCCTAAACAAACTATCTCAGAAACATCTCCACAGGTGAATGTTCAGGTTAAAATGCCTCTGGAATGTCTCATTTAAAACCTCCCAAGGTTTTCTGAGTTTTCTTCTGTCTGGAATGTGAAAACAAGCAGACGCTCTCCCAAATACGCTCACTTTCCCAGTTGTGTTGGATTTTTTTCAAAAATCACATGCATAGAATAAAATCAGCTTCTTCTCAAGCAGAAACTCTCCCAACTAAACGCATCCCTTTTCGTCTTTCCGTCGACACTTGCATTGAAACGACAGCAGCCATCATCGGAACTCTCCAGCGCTCTCCATGCTCACGTACAGAAGCTTTTCCCTCCAACGTGTCCAGTGCAAATAAAATGATAAAACTCGACCTCTAGTGGCTTTTTCCACGCGGCTTCATCTTTTGACATGTTTTACGTCCACTTCGTTTCACAGACACACGCACGAAGCCCCTCCCCCTCTGCAGTCCCTGAGATCACCTCACACTTTGCACAAGGCTTTCTCGTCGACACGGCAAACGGAACGCGAGCGAGACAAAACGCAGGAAGCAAACACAAACCAGACCATGGCGAAAGGCACATTCTGGAGACTTTGAAAAAAGAAAAAAAAAAAGTCCAGGAAGGGAGCGACGAGGCTCAGTTCAGGAGCGCAGCAGTCGTCGTCGTGGTGCGTTCGGGAACTTCGGGGGGAAAGTCGATATGGAGGGACGCAAACATTTCTCGTCGAAAATCTTTCAGTCAAAGTGTTTTTTCCTCCTTTTCCTTATTTATATATAAAAGAAACCAAAATAATCCTATAAGGTCCATCTTTTTCAGTATGTATCTGAATTTTTTTTAAAATAGCGTTTTAAAAAGACGTGAGGAGCTTTGCACTGCTGCGCATCGACTCAGAGAGGATCTCTGAACGAAGGCTTCAGCTCCCGTTCGCTCTCAGCGTACGAAGCCACCAGCTTCCCACAGAACGTTTCCGCCGTGTGGTCGCCAGCCCGTCACTGGACTGAACATTGTCCTGCACAGGCTCTTCACTCTGATCTATTTTTGTCTTTGACTTGAAGTGGAGCTTCCAACCAGGAAGTAGACAGAGCCGGACATGTTTTTAGGAGTCAAGGAGGAGCAGGTGGATCATGGGAAGTTTGTCTCTCTCCCGTCTCAGTTGCTCCAGGACTTGCGGTTCTCTCCTCTGCGCGCTACGATGGCTTCCCCTCGCAGGACGGGGACGTGGGCCTGCTGAGCGAAGTCCGTGGTTCGGCGAGCGGCTCGGTCGCGGCGCGACAGGCGGTCTGGGCGGACCAGCACACCGTAGCCTGGTTTGCAGAGGAAGTATCGGTGGCCTCCCACTGACCCGTCGTTCTTACCTGCAGGAAGGAAAACAATCCAGGTCATCGGGGTTCGTAGATTTTTTTCCCCCACCGTGAAATTCAAGCGCTTTTCAAGATACGTGTGCAAAACTTTTCCAGCTTCACAAGTTGGAGTTAAAAACTTGTTATCTATTACTGCTATTAAAGTCTTGTTCTAATAATCTACATTTTGTAGCAGGTGAATTAAAACAGAACAAAATAGAAAGCTTTAAAAGGTCTCTCTCTCACTCTACACGAGAACAAAACGCTGATTTAACAAAAATACCCTTATCAATAAGTTGTTGATCCATTAGGAATAATAAATGTTCATTACACTGAAACAATTCAAACAAATCGTGTTAATATTCAAATTAAATGCTTGAACGTGTTATATAAAGAGAGTTGTAAAAAAATCTGAAAAAAACATCCTTGATAAGGTTTCTAGACATGCAGCCAATAAAAATAATTTTGGTAACTTTAATTACCAAATTATGACAAGAAAGATGTGGTCGGATTTAACTTCAGACAGATAGAAAGAGAATGGATGTCTCTTTTCATGATGAAAATATCTGGTTTGAACTGTGGACAATGTTTTCCAAGTTTATGCTTTTAATCGAACCTTAAATTGCACCTAATGACAAACAGGTTGAATGTCGGTCACTTTCCAAACCTGGAAAACATCGAATTGAAACTGAAGCGTTTCCAAGAATTTCAAGAACCCGTACAAACCCTGGAAAGTGTTAGCAGCCTTTTGAGCGATCTGGCCCACACTCACCTACTGGGGTGTCCAGCTCCACGCCCACCCACACTCCGTCTGCGAACTGCGTGGGCCCCACGTAGCGCACTGTTCCGGCCTTGTTGCTTCCCACGGTGACGCACGCTCCCTCCGTCAGCCAGTCGGGCGCTACGTCGTCATGAGTGCGGCCGTCGTCCACAAAGATCTCCAGCCGCTCAAAGCCTTCAACTAGCTTCTGATCGGAGAAGGAGAGCTCTGCCGGGACGCTGTTGTTGTGATTGGACGCTACGACGGCCATCTTGGTGCCGCACTGGGGGGGAGAGGTCACAACATCGTTCCTGTCAGCGCCCTGCTGCTGCTGCTGGGGGTTTGAGGGTGACGCCGCGTCGGCGCCCAGGAGGGACGAAGACGAGGAGGAGGGTTGGAGGACATCGGACAGGGTAACCGTGGAAACGCTAGCGGAGAAATAGCCGCTCGACGACTGGCTGAGGGGGCTCAGGGGGGTGGTGTCATGCGGGTCATGCACAGGAAGAGGAGGGACGTCCGGAAACTCGGCCCTTCGGTCTTTGGCAGCGGGTCCTGGGACAACAGCCTGCAGGGGCCCAATGGTTGCCGCGGCAACAGAGGGACAAGCGACAGCATGCGGAGAACGACAAGCCAAAAAAAAAAAAAAACACCAAGGATGAAAATGAGCAATCTCAAAACTCTTCATTGTGAGCAAACAGGATATAACATTTAGTTCTTGAATCCAGACAAATGTTTAATCCAACTAATAAAATGCAGAATTTGACCCTCAGTGTTGTTGGTTCTGCACAAACTCCTATTCAATTCTGATTTTGGCTGATACCAGTACCTTTGTTTGAAAAGTTGCTAAGCTGGTTAGATTACCACATCATATGGATCTCTCACCGTCTCAGGCTTGCCTCTGCTGTCGTCCCCTCCCGTTGACGCTACGATGCGAGGCGCATGCTGCTGAGCGACAGACAAGAGTTAGATCACACCTTTCCATTGCTAATTGTGCAGTCCTGCTTCGCCGTGTCAGCCGTTTCTGTTTCCGCTGACCTGCTGGCCGTGCGGCGAAGGTCTGAGCTCTTTCTTGTCGTCCCGAGCAGGAAACAGAGACTTGAGCAGTTTGGGCATCTGAGGAACCAGGGCCTTAACTGAAAGATAAGAGGCAGCAAGTCCTAAACGACCTGGGGAAGGAAGAAGAGGGGGAGAGGCAGCGAGGTGGAGGCAGAGGAGAGGAAGGAAACGAGAAAACAAGAGGAGGTCCGGGAGGTGGAGGAGGAGTGAAAGATTAAGACCAGAAGTTGAAAGCAAGTCCAGAAAATGGCAACAAAAAATTCACCAACATAGTGACAGATGACAGAAGAAGCATCTAATAAAACACAACACAGAGGTGATTTATTTATCAGCTAAGCTATGAGGCTCTAAATAACTGCGACAGAAATTCATTCAGGTCATTAATTCTGTTCATTTCTGAAACAAAATTAACTTGATGTCACAGTGAAATGGGAAAGGAATCACGGTTAAACCAGCGAGCCATCAGGAATATTCACAATGAAATCATCAGGCATGGCACAGCACCGATCAGTGACAACGTTGGCTGGGTTAGAAAAGCAGAATGGGTGTAAAAAGCTGAAAAAACACCTAAAGAAGATGAGTTCACACATTTCTCAAGGCTGAGGGATGTTTAACAGTGGGAGACATGGAATAAAGTGACAAATGTCTTCAAATCGTTACACAGGAGAGGAAAACGATAAAAACAAAAAAGAGGCAGAAACAAAGAGACGGAGGGAGAGGAGGATGGCTAGAAGAGTAAAGATGGTGGGGCAGAGAGGTCATAAAAGGCAGGATGTTTACCTTGCTCTGGTTCCTGGTTCTGTGGGGGGGTCATATTGAAGGGCATGGTGGATGAAGAGGGGGAGGTAGAGTAGGTAGACGGGGATGAAGCCGGGCGAGGGAGGGTGCGGTGAGTGGGCATGAAGATATCCTGCTGACTCTCCCATCGACCCTGAGGAGCAAAGACAGGATTTGTTTCGGAATGAAGGAAGTTTTCAGCAGTGGCGACTGCAAGACGGGGGCGAAAGGGGCCACGGGACCCTCTTAAAAAATATTGGCCAATAACCTGAATCATATTCAGGTTATTGAAAGGTATACAGAGACATGAATGCAGAACCCATCAAACAAATAAATATATTCATAAAGGTATTAATACTAAAAGATTGATTCAATTTTTTTTCTTATAATAACTTGCCTTTGTTTTTAGCTCATATTTTATTAGCTTAGTTAACAGAGTCAAATTTCTCATTTTCGCTATGTTTGTAATTTTCTTTGTTTTATCAATACAGACCGGTCTGAAAAGTAAATTTTTTCATACAAATATTTTTTTCCGCACAAAACTTATTTTTTTGATGTTGTGTTTGTAATTTTGCTTATTTTAACAAAATAGGTCCGCCTTATAAATGAGGCAATGTGTATAAATGAAGGTCAAATAAAATCAATAAATAAGAATGGGCTTCATTATGACATATCGTCAGATCAGCTAGTGCCATATGCAAACATAAAGATTACATAAATGTCTCCAGAGTTTATAACCAAGCAGCAGGTCGGTAAAGAAATCTGTGCTACCTTATCATCCAACAGGCAAGACGTGGACAGGTCCTGCCTGCTTCCAGACAGCTGAAACGTGAGACAGACAGAAACATTAGGAAAATATTTCTCCGTTTCCGTACCACATGGAAGAATCTGATCATTTATTTTACCCTGTGAACAGACGGAGAGCTCAAACTCCTCCTGTTACTCCTCCCTTTGCCAGTCAGCTGCTCCTTCACTGCTACTTCCTTTTACAAGTTCAAACAAATCAGAAACAATTAGCATTCCTGATGATCAGTCATTGTTAACAGTGCTGGGAGGTTCTCCTTCTACCTGTCTGAGTTTATCCAGGGTCAGAATGTTCTCCAGACTCATGACGCTGCGGAGGTATTTCTCAATGGCGGCCTCGTCATCTCCTGATTGGCTGTTGTGTGCGCTCGCCGCCATCCGGGCTAACATCTCCCTGTCCTCTGAACCTGGAGCATCCTGAAAAAAGGAAACGAAATATGTCAAACACTTACGTGAGGCACTTTCAGCCAAACTAAACGCCGGCGTCCTCCTGTTCCTCGTCTTACCCCAGGAATGTTGGAAACCACTTCGAAAGTGACACCGCAGCCAGGTATGGTGCTGCGGGTCGACATCCTCCTGAGAAAGTTGTGAGCGAAACCCTGGCGACCCGGGTTGACGTTGACGCAGATCCTCTTCCTGAGCACCAGCTGCATGTCGGCGGGGTGGCTGAGCTGGACCACCGCCCGCACCGTCAGGTAGACGCGCTGCTCCGGCCACGACCCGCCACGACTCAGCTGGGGACACTCATGGACGGTGGAGTCCCATGATGCCTCGGCTTTCACCTGGTGATCATCGAGGGTCATCACTGCAGTGTGAGCACAAAGGCAGCCAGAAAAAGAAAGAGAGAGAGAGTAGAAGCTCACCTCTCCGTCGTAATGTCTGACAATCTGCAGGTCGAAGAAGTCGTCCTCATCTTCTCCAGTCAACATGGCGTCCCAGCCTCCGGCTTCAGGCACTTCAAACTGCTCATGGGAGCCGAGGTCGTCGGCTGGGGGAAAAGAGAAAATGTATGTTTGATGAGAAACTCAGGTGATGTCAGGGCAACCTGCTCTAGTTAACAAAACTGATTACGTTTAAGGTCCAAGAAGAGAACTGGAATGTGCGTTTCCATCCCTGGTAGAGGCGCCCTGTGAACACAAAAACAGGATTTTACAAGCTTTATGTGTATGGGGTTTCTATGCTTGGGTGATAAATTGATTTTATTGACTAGCTGAATTTGTGATTTGTTTTTTCTTTTCACCAATAATTTTGGTAGTTCGGAGTGATGTCAGCCATTTTGCTTGACAGTCCTGATTTACAGATTCTATTTATTTGGACTCTGAATTCAGGCCGACTCTACGACAAAATATAAGTCAGGCTCACTTTTTTTTTGCGAGAATAAAGATATAATGTAATTAAAATACACTTGTAATAATATATTAAGTCTTCATATGACCAGAATAAAGTCGTAATGTCAGGAGAACGAAGAAGCAATTTTATGAAAACTAAAAAGAAAAAATTACTTATCCAGGTTTTTTGCCCTAATTAAAACATTCTTCTAGCAAAGTTGCATCTTTATTCTGCTACTATTATGACTATATTCCTGTAATTAAAAATTCTCAAGGCCTGGCTCTAATACTAACTCACAAAAAAGGAAAAATAACTTTTTGAAAATATTTCTTATAATTTGTCATTTCTTTAACAGAAAACAAACTGACAAAAAAAAAGAAAAACAAAATCTGAGATTTGATTTTTAACCCAGTCCTACAACAATTTGGTGAAAACATCAGGCGACGTACCACTCTGCAGGAGCGCCAGGAATGCCGCTGCCAGCAGAGGGCACCATAACAGCGTTCCTCTCCTCAGTGAGAGTCAACCTCCACTCCAGCAGCTGCGCCTCCCTCTCCATATCATCCTCTGTCTTTTCTGGACACAGACATGATAATATTTATGTCAGATACAAAGTGAATCATTTTACAACCCTTTCCTCCAACCTCCTGATAAGAAAAAAAAAACTAAACAAATAACATGCTGTTTTTTTTTGTGTGAATATCTGTAAATGTTACCTGCTTTGCTAACCAGGCTCTGCAGATGTTGGTCCAGGTATTCCTGTCTCTTGGTTAGCGCAGCCAGCCACTGCCGCCGCAAACGTTCCAGATCTCTGTCCTATCCAACAATGACTCGGTTAATGCGTTCTGTCCTTAGACACAACTTCATCCAGCGCGTTCTGAAGCAGAAACTATGGATGTTGGTTTGGCGTACCTGGTAGCTGTCCATCTCGTCTCCTTCCTGATTCGCTGTGCTGGTCCTGATCTCCACGCAGCCCACCGACACGGCCAGCACGATCTCTGCTATCAGCGGCATGGTGCCTGAGTCCTGAACCGAGCGGACGTCCACCTGGACTCGCCTCGACTGGCCCTGGGATCGACATGAACCCAAGCAGCAGTTTGAACATCACAAATCAGCTTTTCATCCTCCTCTGGGGTCATGTCGGCGGGAACTGTGCAGGTTTTACATCCCTACCTGTCGAAGCTGGAAGATTCCCCCCGTGCTCACGTCTCTGGCCGGAACTACTTCCACCGGGACAAAGTCTCCGTTTTCGTTTATTTCCAGGATCTGAATCCACAGTTCCAGGCGACGTGTGACCTCGCTCCACCTACCATAAACTTTTTTTAGTGTTTTTTACAAATCAAAATCTAAAAAGTGTGACATGCATTTGTATTTAGCCCTCTTTTCTCTAATACTCTGAAAGTTGTGAAGCAAATCCAGAGTCAGAAGTGGCTCTTTGAATTTTCCACAATGGTTCTTTCTATCTCTTGCTAAGATGATTTAAAAAGAAGAACCAGTGTTTCTAAATATGAATACAACCAAAACAAAATGCATTTGCTGAAACATGGTATTTTTGTCATTAGGTTTTTTAACAACCTTTTTTTGTACAAATGTCATCAGCTGATTTTATTTTAAAACCTAAAAACAGAAATAAAAGGCGAGGTCTTAAAAAAAGAACATTTTCTACTGTACATGTTCATCAAAAATGAAGATGTCATGTAATAAACTACACAAATCTGAACTCCATGGAAGAGCGTCAAGAAGACATTTTTAAAAGAAAGACATAAAGGTGGCCTGAATACATGGAAGACACAGCAAACACCAGAAAGAAGGAGCTCTGGTCAGATGAGAGCAAAACTGAACTTTTTAACCTACATGCCAAAGTTCACATGGTGAAGCATGGCGGTGGAGTCGTCAGACTTTGAGAAAAGATAAAGGGGCGAAGCGCAGAGCCATCCTGTTAGGGTCTGTCTGCAGAAAGATAAGTGAGTGTGTGGGTCTACCTGTCTCGTAGCGTCCGCGTTTTGGCCTGGATGATGCTGAGGTCCCACAGGGCCGGGTTTCTTCCTGCGTCAGACTGCTTGTGTCCAAATACCTCGATGGCAACCGCTCCTTCAGTCAGATACTCGATGAAATCCTCCGTCACCGACACCGCCACCTCCTTCAGCATCAACAGAAAATCACATCTGTTAATCACCAAATAGATTTATCAGCAATAACTAAATAGATGTAATTCTATTTACGTGAAATGACAAATCAAATGAATGCCAACAAATCGATTACTGAAATAATCGTCAACCAAGCTAATAGATTAAACGTTAACTAAAAAAAGAGAGAAAACCATTCGTTCATGCTTGAAAACAACAACACACTCAGAGCAGTAATTAAGCCAAAACTGTATAAAATATATACATCATGTATTGAAGATAAAGAAAACTCTGTGAATAAGTTTGACTTAAAATTCTTAAAGTGCCACAATTTTGATGACCACTCCTGAATATATCAAAAGAACAAAAAATAAACGCTTTATTCCGATGCAATGTTGATGTTAAGTCAAACAGTGACTAACCCGTCACTGTCTGTGAGATTTTGAGAATATTTGTAGCTGTATCTTTTGCTACAAATGATCAAGCATTTATTTTCTTATTGAAGGAATACAGTTTTATTTACATCTTTTTTATGTATTTACAATATTGTATTAAAAAGGTTTAAATAAGAATATTTGCAGAATGTGCTGATTGTTTTTATCCAACTAATTGATATAAAAGTCAAGAGAATAATCGAGGACTACAGTCATGGTCACTTGCAGCCCTAAAATAATCTTAAAGTACCGATCACTAATCAGAAAAATACAAATATTGACATTCACCTTGCAGCTGTCAAACACCACCATGCAGTGCGGGTCCTTTGAGTTGGGCGACGAGGAAGATGGGTCGACCTCTGGGGCCACAATAGTGGGCTCAGCCTGGTCCCAGAACGAATACTGACAGAAGACAAAGTTGGACAGGTGCTGCGGCAGACCGGTGGCTTGCAGGATCTTTATCTGCAGTTACACCCAAGTCGACGTCAGAGTCAGCATTTGAGTAAAAGTCCACAGCGTCTAAAACGGCTTCAACGACGAGCATCGGCGTTGCTTACCGAGCAGACCAGTTTACGATCCTCAAATTCAGAGTCCTGGTTGTTGTCGGGTTCGTCTCCTCCCGCCATGTTGTCCTCCAAGCCCCCTCCCACTCTCATGACCTCCACATGCAAGCGTCCTGCGACCTTACGAAGGAAAACAGAGGGGAGGAAAAGGTTAGTTTCTGTAATAGTGCTTGAAAAGAAGCTGAGAAGCCGGGGTTGTACCTCTCCCTTTTGGTTGATGATGGGAACTGCGTACTGCAGCTTTACATCGTAGAACAGACAGGAAAGGAAAACGTTGGCGACACCGATCAGACTATGATTCTCCTGCTCATCAAAGAATGGGTCGGCTCGGCGGAAGTATGAACGCATTACCTGGAGGGGAAGGAGTAGAGGAAAAAGTAGGCTCGTCAGAGGTTTCTGAAGTAAAACAACATACTCAAATCTAATTGACTTCCTCTCAGCATTTACAATTTCTACTTCAGTAATCTTGGTATCAAAAATAAGCTAACAGTTGGGAGACTCAATCAGAAGTGTAAGTAGTGGACAGGCTGCTGTAGTTTAAGAGAAAATGAGGATGGAACATAAATGATGAAGGTTTTCAGACTGTAGGGAGAACTCACTGGGTCGTCTTGGTGGTGGACGTGATAGTCCTGCCACTCCTGGTAAAGCTCTCTCATGTCCACCAGACGGTTCTCCATCTTCTCCAAGCTCCAGATCTGTTTGCCTCGGCACCGCCGTCGAACCTGAATGGCCGGTTCGCTGAGCACCGCGTCCCGCTGCAACGCAAACACGCCGAGGTTAACGAGCTGCAGGTAGAGGCACGTCGGCGCGGCCCCCGTCAGAGGTTCATTGGGAAGCGCGAGACCTTGCGGTTTGCGTTGAGGTTGTCCGACGGGATCTGCAGGGTGACTCTGTACTCAGTGTGGCGCTCCAGCTCGTCGGAGATGAAACACGCTTCCTGCACCAGGAGGTTTGCTCTCACTATCTGCTCCCTCAGCCTCCGGAGACTCCTCACCAAAACCGCCTCCCTGGAAGAGGACGGGAAAAGGCCGTCAAGTCAACAAACAGTTAGGAGGAAGACTGTTATCAATTAATGATATTAATTAATATATAAAATATAAAAGCACTAAAACCAACAAAACAAATGAGTTTTTTTCCTGCTCAACAATAATCTAAGAATATCATAAAATAGAAAGTGTGATACTTAACATTTTCTATTAATATAAGACTTTAATTTCTTAGTAATAATTTCACTCTAATAATAGATAAAAGTTTTAATCTGCATTGACCCTAACCCCCGCCTGCACTTTGGACAACCCTGGTCTAAGAGGATGAATTTAGCTGAAGAACTGGAATGAATTTTAATCAAATAAACCATTAATAGACAGTTAATCGTAAGTCGATTCTGTGTTTTTAAATACAGACCCCAAACACGCTCACACACGCACACACACATACACACACCTGTCTTCACTCCACTGCCTCAGTCTGCTCTGAGCGCTGGTAGAATGGCTCATCCCTCCCACACTGAGCCGCTCCAGGCTGCGGTAGTGAGATTGCTGTCCCTGTCCTGTATGGACAGACGTCTGTCCTCCAGACTGGCCGGTGGACAGGCGGTCTGGGTTGAGCTTCTTGCGGAGCTGCTGGAGCTCCTGCTCGTACATCTGCCTCTGTCGCTCCAGAGCCGATCGCTTCTCTTCCTCGTGTTGCCTCTCCAGAGACTGGAGGACCGCCTGCATGGGATCTGAGGACAGGCAGGACAGATGAGCAGAAGAAGAGGAGACGGGCTAACGGTCTGCCTGGCAGGGAATTGGTGCAGCGCTCTGAAAGGTTCTCTCACCGTTGCTGCCCAGGGCCTTCATCATGACCTCGGTCTGAGCGAACTCGTAAGAGAAGCTGACCTCGCTGGAGACCTCGCTGGCTGTGTCGCCGTCGGCGTCCAGCTGCTCGCTGCTGCCGCTGTTCTTCAACACGCCGCCTTCGCCCTCCTCTTCCTCTGCTGGCCGCAAACGCCGCTTTGCCAGATTGATTCTTCAATTAAAATAAATACGCGTCAGTGACTATAAGGGTTTAATGTAGCTTTTTAAAGAATAAAAAAAAAAAAGTAAATGACACAAAAAAGTTTTAATTCTAGAAAATGACACAAATTTGTTTTTTATGATGAGGAAATGAGAAAATGTTGCAAACTACCTGAAGAAGTGGTTGTTTCCCCAGAGGATTCGGTCACCGTGGTGAAGTTGCAAAGCACTGGTTACTGGAGAACCATTAACACACGTCCTGTAACACCAATGAATGCATAAGACCTTCAGTAAACAGGTTACTGATACAAACTCAGTTATTTCTATCACATCAAGTTAGATACAAGTGACAGAGAAATCCGATGAGCGGAAGAAGTCGGTGGTTAGTTGGGAAAGAATGAAAAAATATGAAAAACACTTATTTACAAATAGTAAACACATGCCAACACTTTCCGGTCACACTGCCTGAAGACTCAACTAGCTAGTTTTAGCGATGTATTTAAAAAAAGCATGCTGTGATTCAACAATCCTTCATTTTAGACGTGCTGCACACGTTTCTTATGACGTCTAATTAAATCTCTCTGTTAAAAGCAAAATGCTTTTTTTAAAATTACATCTGACTGCAAAATGTGACGGTGTTGATCTGACTCTGTTTATTGGCATAGATGCAGATCCGTACAGACCTGTTCTCCAACTCTCCAACTCTACTGTGGGAATCTTGGTTGTCCCTACCAGCCTCCCTCCAGGCTATTTGAGTTCAGCTCATTTGCCTAAAATGTGTTACTGTGGAGTTCCTCACCGAGCGTTGGGGTGGGGGGTGAGGATGACGGCAGTCTCTGCTGTGATGTCGATGACGCAGTGCTCTGCCTGGATTCCCATCCCACACAGCTGGATGTCCTGGGAGTCTGCTGAGCCGACCCGCGTGTGTTCCTGAGGCACAGCATTCACATGGTATAAATAGGTGATCCAAGGAACCATCCTGCAGAATACATGCATTCCACCATGACGAGGAATACGTTGAGGCGTCTGTACCTTTAGGTAGTACACCAGCAGCTCATTGAGGGCGGGATCTGCGTTCAGGTTGACAAGAAAACTTTTATCATCTCCAACTTTGATCCCTGAAGACTGAAGGGAAATCCCTAGACTTTCCAACTGCTTCTGACGTTCCTGAAAGCAAACACACACAAAATAAAATACTGATCCTGATTTCAAACACCGGCTGTGTTGCCGACCACTTACTTGTGCAATCTCCTCGGTTTTTCGGAGCTTCTCCTCCCAGGTGTAGGTCATCTCTTGAATCAACTTCTCGGACTCTTCCAGGCGCTCTTTCAACTCCGGAGCTTTCATCGACTGCGGAACAGGAAGCCGATGATAACGGACAGAAAGCAGAGATCTCTTAATGACTTAGATTGCTGAAGTAGGCTCACCTCGGCCTGAGTGAGCTGCACTCGCAGTTTCTCCACTTCTTCCCTCAGCTCCCTGATGATGCGTGCATTGGGGTCTTCGTTGACGACGGCGTGGTTAACGATGTTCTTCGCTCGGTCGGCGTAGCGCAGCGTTGACAGGGTTTCCTCGTAGTTGTCTGCCGCTGGGCTCACTGTTGCCACCATGGCTGTGCGACTGTTGCCCCCCAGGCAGTCCTGCAGAAGCAGTACAAACAGATAAAGTGTCGAAACAGTGGAAAATTCAAACGCGTGCTTGAATAGTTCAATCAAAACTATTCAAGTTTTACCTTCAGCAGCCAAGTCAGAACAGAGTCTCTGTAGGGAACGAACTTGGTTTTGTTCTTCGCCGTTCCCTGTTCAGCTAGCGCAGAAATGACCAGACCAAGTGTAGTAAGGGACCTGCACCAAACAATACGTATGACTATGACTAACGTATTTAAGGTCAACTTACATTTTAAAACGAATCGAAGCCATTTTAAGCCCTTAAATTTAGATAAATGAATTTAAGACTTTTTAATGATGCTTTCACATCTTGGTGATCTGATCATTACATGTCCATTGCCCTTGCTACTTTATGTTATGGATTTCAGCTCCAGAAATAGATGTGGCTCACATGGAAACACGTTGCAAGTTTCTGCTAAGAGCTTTGCTTACTTGTTGATGTTGCTTCCCTCCTTCAGTCGTTCTCCTGCTGCTCCAGTTTTTGCTGCACGTTCACTTCCAGCCAGGTCAACCAGACTTAAACGACTCACCTTCTCCCCACTCGTCTACAGAATGAACAAAGACAGACATCTTTAATTCTTTCCACCCATTCACCTTTATTTCTCAGGCTAAGTTCACAGCGAGTCATGAGGCTCAATTTCAATGTTTGGCTGAAATCCATTTTCTTTTCTCTTTTGTTTTGCGTGCTGAATGATGTGACGACAATCAGACTTGTGTCCCCTGAGCGACCCGAATGTGCAAAAGAAGAACATAAAAGTCACACAGCAGGGCACTCTTTAGGGAAGTAATAACAGATGTCACTGCTTATGGATAGATTTTGAAAGTTTATTCAGCATTGAGAACCTGTCGGAATTGTCACACAATCATTAAAAGATGAAGGGAAAAAAAAGGCTTCAACTAGTAGCAGTGGCATTTTGTGGAGCACTGACTGCAACTTTTGTAGAGAAGTCTGTCTGGATGAGTAGTCAGAACCAAGAGTGATAGGATTGCAATGTGCTTCAGTGACCAACTTCTTTCAATTTCCTAATTAAGATTTTTTTTCAGCCGTTGTGTTACATGTTTGCTGCTTCTGGTGCAGAATTATGGTGCACATTTCACACCAGCGACATGTAAGTCGGATTAAATGTGACATGACTGTTCAGACTGCAGGCACTTTGAGATACACACATGCAATAGCCACAGATCAGATGTTTTGAGGGGTGAAAAGATCAGAATTGAGCCGTTTAGTCTGCCGAGGGAAAAAAAAAATAAAAAATTGGATGTCGGTTGCATATGGGCAAAAGAAAGAAAAAATAAAACAGATTTGGGTCACATTTGCCAGCTGCGTTAACATGGCCTTAGTACCACTTGGGTACCAAACAGTAAATGTTTACTGTGGAATGCAAACACGTTGTCTTCTCCACCGACGCCATATTTAGACAAAGAACTGTCAGAAACTCTTGCTGAAAAGGCTTTTTTTCCCCTCCGTTTCCCTCCCACTGTAACTCTAGCAGGCAGGTATAAGTACCGATCTCATCTCTCGGCCGCTGGTGTAAAGCTTCCCTCTGCATTTTTCTGAGGACTGTCAAAGAAGAGGATATCAGGTCTCCATCTGTGACTGCTCAGCAGCTGACGAGGTTGAATCTAACACCTCACCAACACCTGATGTCAGCCCGTCGCCACGGATGTGGCTCCAATCAACCTCTTTACTTTATCCGAGGAAGCTCAGGGCATTGAAGCACATTGTCTCACACTGAGTCATGTAAAAAATACATGCCCGCCACTGCTTTGTGAGATTTGTGTGACAGATCTCCAAGATTATGCGTTCCTTTTATCTTAAACATTGGAGTCTGCTTTTCAAATGTTTCATCTAGCATCCCACTGAAAATCTCAGGCTGAGTTTACACACAACACTGAAAAGACTCCTGAAAAGACAGAACGGAAAGATGGGAGATAAAGAGCCGGCAGCCCAAGGTGCCGTGATACAGATCAGCCCCAAACGGGTACGGCGTTGCATTCCCAGAGGAAAACTCACTGTTGAACAGGGGAGATTTTATCATCTGGATGAAAGAGGGGAAAAAAAGGACACAAAAGGAACTGAAGTTGTGAAAATGTAAGAGGGAACATATTGGAGTTGCTGCTGACTGTAACCAACAGTAAATAGTCTTTTACGCTATTTTGATTCAGATCTAGATGCATGATCAAGCAAGTGACATAATGATGAGGTAGCGATAATCTTCAACGTGGTGTTTTGTTTTCATGATTAGAAACTCTGTAGCCAGACTGGGTGATAACCAGATCAGGAGGCAGGATGTGCAGCGATAATGTGTCAAACTACTTGGCTGCAGTTTTACCAGATCAACAGTCGAGATAAAAGTAACTAAACACCCATTGCATTCATCAGCAATTTGAACGGAAAACGACCAAATAAGTTGTAACTAAGTTCAAGGTGCAAACAAGAGTACAGAGTGTTTTCCTGAATGAAACTAATGTTTCTTAGAATGACTCATTCAGCAGTTGTGGGTCTTTACAACGTTATGGCTTTAAAAGTGCAACTTCAACGACAGCCTCCTGCAGTGCTGCGCACATGAGCATTGATGACCTATTACATTAAAAGGAAGTGATGCATCATGTTGTGAAGTGATAAATCAGTGTGGAGAATCTTGTTTATGCAGCATTACTGCAAGCTAAAATTATTATTTTTCTAGCCTCAAAACCAACAAATACGGTTTTAATGTGATTTATGAGCTAGCAAAGTGACTCACTCGCTTGATGAGTGACCAACTTGTTGAATGACTGCGTGTGTGTGTGTGCTGAAAACAAAGCAGGCTGTATCAGCTGACAAACTCGCAGTCATGTCTGTGAATTATTAACAGGGTTTGGTGGGAGCCAGAAATAAGAGCGAGTAGTAAAGTGGGTCAGTGAGGAAAGAAGGAATGAGTCACTGAGGTCTTTCCTCTAAGAGACTCGCCGTTGGGACCGACACCACCGGGTTCGGTAACTACCTTCATCTTCATCCCAGAGGGCGGCGGATTGGATTATTTGAATTTCTACTCCTACTTTCAGTAATGGCTGCATCTGAGGGCTTTTACTAGTCTGACTGAGGTCGAGCTCAGTCAGAGCTCAGTTGAAGTTTCTCAGACTGGACGGAGAAACTGAAGAGATTCTCAGATTCTTAATTCCGTGAAACCAGGAACTAAGAGAATGCATGATGCAGGGTAACATTGGCTGATCAAGGTTTAAGTTTAAAGGGTCTCTCAAGATCTGCTACATCTACAGTTTGTGACTCCTCATCATAACTTCACAATCTGATTTAAAATCATATGTTTTCTCATCCAAAACTAAGATTTCCAGGAGAATTCCTCCATTAATGGTTTCGCTTGCTCAGCTCTATGTGTGTATGTGTGATGTCATCTTACCCCAGACTTCAGGTCCTTAAGTGTGTGTGTGAGGATGATGTTGAAGACGGCGTGCGATCGACTGCTCTCCTCGTTCATGTTTGTGGCAGCGACCGTCCGAGATTTATTCCCCTCCGACATCAGAGACTCAATGTCCTGACGAAACAAATAAATTCATTAAAGATGTCAGCAAAGAATTATACAAACTTTACGCTTAGATCTATAAAGCTATTACATTTTCCGTGTGTGTTAGGTCTTGATTATAGAAGCTGCCACACAGGTTCTGGTTTATTGTCACTCACTCTACAGACTAAGTTGTCCTCGGCCATTTTTGCTGTCAAACTAAGAGTTTCAAGAGTGACAGTCTGCCTGATGTCTCATTCATCACTACAGAGAAGAGCAGGAGTCTCTCACTGCTCCACACAGCTGACCTGCTGTAATAACATCACGAGCAGTCTTTTCATAATATAATTTTAATTACAAATTTCTGATACTTATTGAGTCAGTAAGTAACGCATTTCATTAAATTGAAATAAGGGATAGGAATAAATAAGTTGTGCTTCTTCCTACTCCCTTTCAAATAGAAAAGTAGTGGGAAGCTAATTATTTTGGTCCTAGTTATGTTTGGACATGTTTTCTCTTATCCTACTGGTTAAAACCTGTTTAAAATAAATAAATAAATTAAAAGAAAATGCCTTTTTTTATGTGCATCCCCTGTTTTTAAAGACTGCCCACATTATTTATGTGATTAAAATATATTCTCTGTTTTTTTCCCCTCACACTGTAGAGTCACTTCTTCATCTCCTTGTATGCCCATATCATGTGACATGATTTGCACATAGAACTTGGATCATATGGCTTGGATTTCCCCAGCCGTCCCAGAAAAGTTGCACAGAAAGCAACTGAAACACTGATCATTAAGTTGACCTATGAAGGAAAGTGAAAAGTTTCTAAAGCAGAAGAACAGGTTTCTCTGGAAGGTTTGTCCTCATAAGGCTAATATGTACCAAAGAGGATCAGGGCCACTGAAAAGAGGAGAAAAAAAATTCTGGATTTAAAGGCAATATTCGTAGTCAAAAAGTGTCAAAGGAAAGCAAACAACACCAACAGTACGATAAAAGGCATTGATAGCCTGATAAGATTTCATCTCTCAGTGTTAGTTCAGCTCTCATGTGTGGGTTGAGAAATTACCTTAGTAATTCTCAGGAAGTTGCTCATTAGAGCCTGGAGGATTCAGTGTAATGCTCTCCCTTAAGCACGTCAAAGCTTTATCTTTGTGTTTTGCAGTGTCATACCTTTAAAAACAATCTTACAAAGTATTTTTGGTCTAGTTTCTTGTGCAAACGTCATGGCGAACTTGAAATAAGATAAAACTAACTTACAGCAATATATCCAAGCTTGTTTAAGTCAGCAATTCCTTAATTTTGATGAAAAAATGCTAGTTTCACTGGCAGATTATTTCACTCACAACAAGACATGTTTCCCATGTTACAAGTGAAATAATCCGTCAATGGAACTAGCACATTTCATCAATATCAAGGAATTATTGACTTAATTCATACTCCTATTTCTGGCTTAAAAGTTACTTGTGAGTTATTTTTGTCTAAGATATTTGCACTAGAAACTGGACCAAAAATACTTCGTAAGATTTTGAATTGGAGCCTTGGGGTTTTGAAGGTAAACCAGCAGAACTAGTAACAGGAAAGCAATTAATTGACTCCAGTTGGATGAGAAAAGCTGTTTAAACATGCGGAACTTGACTTGAATGCAAATCGAAGCAGCAGAGGAAATGCCAGAGTGAAAATGCAGCCAAGCATCTTTGGGAATCTAAACCTCAAGCAGGAAATGTGATCACCGACAGTAAATGTAGAAGATAAAAGTCAATAAGCCTGGCAGAGAAGAACGAGTGAGCCACAGCTTTACCTTGTAGCTAGCTACGGCTAGGCGTGACAGGCCATCGACGTAGGGACCCAAAACTTTGTGCTCCCTCACCCTCAGCGTCTGTCGGCCCCTGGACGCAAAACAAGACAGAACAGGGTGAAGAGACAGACGGACAACATGGCCACTGCTGGCGTTTGCTCTTGGTGCTTTGTGTTAGACAGGGGTGACGGCGCCAGCTCGGCTCTTCCTGATGGTCACTGAACTCGGCTCGCAGGCTTCACCGGCACACGGCTCTCTGACCCCAATTCTGTCACGCTCCCGACAACTTCATCATTCGCGGATCTGCGGCCAAGGCGCATATGGCTGTCAGATGGTGAGCTTCATTCTGGGTCACTTTACCAAGGTTAAAGGTTTTGTACAGAGGGAGGGTCAGAGGTTATGGTGTCTGGGGCAGCAGACGGTGGCCTGAAGCCCTGATTTACTGCTGACCTGCTGGACATAAACTGGCCTCTATTGGTGGCTGCAGTGCAGGCTGCTAATCTTATTATCTGCTGACCACTGCAGCCATCACAATGCAACCTCCTCTGATTTATTAGCTCAACGGGTTTGAAATACTTACAACTTTACTACAGGTTAGCCGATAAACTTTAAGTGTTTTTGGCCACCGCTTCAATAGGTTTGGTAAAGATGACTGAATATTAATCAACTGCAAGAAAATAAAAAACGAAGACAGGAACTTTAGAGCAACACAATGAAAAGAACAGGCATTCAGTCTCTGGAGGATGTTGCGGTGTGTTATGTGATTGTTGTGGCCTTAAGTTTCTGATTTTGTGGAGCCTTTTTCTAAAAGCTGTAACATTTTTTCCAACTTCATTTCTGACTATTGTGACAATAAAACTTTCTTTAAAATATGTAGAAAAGAATCACGAGCACAACTTCTTTACAGAAACTAAAGAGAACTGAGTTTATTCCTAGCATTTACTTACTAGCAGCGAATGTAAAATAGATAAGATTAGTATTCTTATCGACAAGGTTAATATGATATATTGGCATGGATTAACTATTTATTTAGCTGACATTATGTGAATGCAGCAGCACTACTTCACTTGCTCGGTTTGTTTGGAAGAAAAAACAGCTCCACTAAACAGCAGCCCTCCCCACGATGATCAGTGGGGATTGCAGTTCCCTGGATTAGCACTGGGTTAGAAAAAAATATTTTTTATAAGTTGTCTTTGTTTTTTCAACTGAATTAGGACTATTTTGCCCCGCTGAATCCAAAAATGACAAATTTTTCTCAATCAGGTCAGGTTTTTATTGCAATTTGATCTTCTGACTAAATTGATGACATTTTTGTGACATTATCAGTTCATTACCGTTAATTCCCATCCAAAAAAAGGTTTTAGGAGAAAAAAAGTTTTCTAATAGTGTATGAATTAAATGCTACAAACTTGGATTTCTGCAAATTGAACAATAAACCTTGATAAGATTAAGTATGTGTAAATTAAATATTATGTCTCCATTGTTTAAAATTCTCCGTCTCTTTTCTCTCCTGATGGAGTCTCTCCTCCTGCTCATCACTGATTGATCAGATTATCAGCAAACTGACCCAGATGTGAGAACAAATCATGCATTTTGAAGCTCATGTTACTCCGTAGTTCAGAAAGTTGACCTGATGGAGCAAAAACCAACGTGAATTTTGGACTCAGCATATCAACATGACTCTAAAACAGTTGAAAACCACAGATGATTTTTTTGGCTGTTGACAGGTGTTATTGAATAAAACAAGCATTTGACTGAGAGGAGATCATAGCTTTAACAGAGAGACTCTACACTACAGGCAGGACACAAACTCTGATATCGAGTTTGCGCTGGAAGTTTGGCGGGCGTTCCTACCCCTTCGGGTCGAGCAGATCTCGGACCTTCTCGTTGTAGATCTCCATGTAGGACACCTCTACGGTGAAGCTCTCCTCCTCCCGCTGCTCCTCCTTGGTTCGCTCAAACAACGCGCTGCAGAGTCGAGGAATCAGCCCGGGCTGGTCGCCTGAGCCCATCATGGTGTACGACTTCCCTGACCCTGAAACAAATGTTACAGGCATGCAAAGGCGTCACTGGCGCCATTTTTTTCTAACGCTTTATTTACGAGAAAATAGAAATTAAGTCATCAGTTGACAGAACATCACATACACCGTTTATACAACACACAAAACAAGATGTGAAACAATGTTTACAGATATATATAGAAGCCAGAGTTGGTGAATTACCAGTTTGTCCATAGGCAAATATGCAGGCGTTGTAGCCCTGGAAGGCGTTGTGGAGAAGACTTTCCCCAAGGCACTGGAAAACCACCTCCTGACCTGCAAGGAGGTCAAGCCCAATCTTCACTTTGTATGTTTAGGTATTTAAATTAAAGTGCGTGAATTCCTGTGATGAATTCTTAAAGACGCTAATAACAAACTGACCTGCAAATTTTTCCTTATCCGTTTCATCCATGGACCAGAAGCAATAGTCATAGGCAAAAACCTGAAGGAAACAGCGGAGGTGTTAGCCATTAAGAAATCTGGCAGCTACCCAGAGAACTTCAAAAGTTAAAGTCCAGCTATCAGACATGCCGATCTGAATTGCAGGGTAAGCTATTCGCGTAGCTGGAATTGTGTGGCTGGGAGTGACTATCAGAGAACCAGGTTTGTGCTTTGAAATTGCAAAACTTTTTTGGTAAAGCTTTTTACCTTTAATCTGTATCACTTTCAAAATTCTGTAAAATCCTCTGAGGTGGACTTTACAGTAAATGTAAATGGACTACAGGAGTGTTAATCATCAGGTGGCATCTGTTTTGTCCTTTTAAATAGACTTTTTTTCATTTCTGCCCTTTGCAGAATTTTTTCTTTGACTCAAAGACTTCGACATGTTCAGAAAAGAAAGCATGCTCTGGGAGACCATTTCTACAGATATCTTGGTGGCAGTATTATGTATTTTCTAGGCACATAGTAGCATTTCATAGCATAAGTAACTTGCTAACTTCTGTTAAAAATATATTGTCCATGTCAAATATGAAGTGAAAGAAATTTGACTTCCTGATTTAACGCCTTGAAATTGGGCCTCTATCTCTTTAAAAGCTCCTGCTATTTCTGAAACTCCACTTTCAGGAAGACATCACAACATCACATCTCTTAGCATTTGAAATTGGGCTGATCTTCATATGTCATGCTGCAAAGCAGTGCACAAATATTTCTGCTGAATGAGGGGGAAAAAAAACATAAATCCTGAAAACACTGACATGCTGTGATGTGAAGCAGCCAGCAACGCTCAACGTTTCAAAGTGAAAAAAAAAAAACTCAACAAAACTAAAAAAAGCCACTTTAAAACAGTTTCTTTTTTTCTTTTCTTTTCTTTTTTGTTTCATTGCCTGTATGGCTCCACACAGCTCTTGAACCTAGTAGAAGTTGAACAGCGGTGCCTTTGTTAGACACAGAGATGATTCACAACACTGGAATCGGGTGAGAAACGCCTGTGTGTTGGTGTGCGCTGTTACCTTGGACTGATTTCTGGTGATGTTGGGAATTTCGAGGTCCACGGGAGGAGCATGTGGAAAGACGGATGAAATAAAGAGCACATTAATAACAGATATTCAGCAGCTGGCCATCCTGAACTCATAAGAAAACATTTTTAGATGCGTCTTTACTTGAAATGAGCATTGGATTGGAAATGTTGATGTAATAAGAAACCAAAAGCAACATTGAGACAAACACTTACCCCACTTTTTGTCAAGTGACCGAATGAAACACTCGGTCATATGGAGATTTCTCAAAAATATTACAGATAAGCCCATAACAACAAGCAATAAATCAATCAATTGCGTAATAAAGTAAAACGAGAGCAATTATTTTCATTCAGGCAAACATTTTGAGAAATGCTGCAAACGTTTGACACCCAGTACAAAGTAGTTAGTTTGCACCACCTGCCGTTTTGCCTCTTTTCCTCGTCTAAGATGAATGATTCTCATTTTTTGAAACGTAATTTTGGTTACAGAGACTTTATAGTCTATTTTATTTATTGTTGTTTCAGTTGTTTTAATTATGTGAAGATATTTAAAAGGATTTTCAGTTCCAGTCTTAAATGTTCTTTAGAAATTGAAGTTGTTTTTATCTTTGAGTAAGTAAACCTGCATTAATAAACCAATACTATTATTATTATTACTATATTAGTTGAATATGGACTCAAAACAACAAGATTATCATTTACTGCACTAATCTCTGGGACGATTTATGGCCCAACAATATTTGTTATTGTGACGGGCCTAATTATAGAGGCTTTGAAAAGGATTCCTGTGTGGGTTTTGGGTCTCAGACAGAGATGGGTGAGACCTTCTAGAGATGTCTGTGTCTCTATGAATTTATGTCTTTGGGACAGGGTGGACGTGGAGGGTGGGGGAGCTGTTGCACACTGAAAAAAAGATGATGGCATCCAAAGGTTACTGGGTCACAGTCACACCAAAAAAATGGACACATCTGGTGTAGAATGTCTCTGACGAAAGCAAAAACATTCAAACACACAACAGAAAGACGTGGCGATATTTTCAAAGAGAAAAGAGAGAACTATAACACAGAAATAAACTGACAGCGGCTACAACACATTTGGCATTGGAAATTAGGCTGATTGAAGTATTTATTTTAAGTAAAGAACAAATAAAACATAAACGTTTGGCTTTGAGAACTTCTGCAACCTCACAGGAAATGATCTCATCAACAAATGAGACAGATAACTTCTTAAAGAGATTTGCTAATATGATGACTACAAATGTCCTTGGACTGCACCTGTGATAGTGCTAAATAAAACAGATATAGTTCAAATTCATGTTATAGACAAACACAGATAGACTAAAAAGCCCAGTTTCTTTACCCACACCTGCATGAATATGAGGAAAATGATGGAACCAGTCTCTACGATCTTCAACAGACCAATAATTAAACTCATCTAACAAGAATTGGACGAGTCTCAAATGAGTCCACCAGATTTTGTTGGAATGTCCATCCTCTTAGCCGCCTCTTTTCTCTTCCTCCTCCTCATTAGGATAAGGAACAGCAGAGCTTTCATGTGACATCTTGACAGACACATCCTGCAATTATGTCAGCAGCTGGAAAAACAACCCTTTTCCTGGATATCTGTTCAGTTCTCCACCAATGGGAAAGCTCTTTGCACTCAAACGTCCCCCTATTCCTCCGTAAAAGCATCATAAACTAATGTTAACGACTGAACCAAGTCTGGGTGAGTTGGAGTGTTATCTTTTTCATCCCTTTTTTTTTTTTAAATACCTCCATTTCAAGAAATATGCTTTAATGTCTTTTACTTGAATCCAGTTGTAGGATGAGACTGAAGAAAAGAGAGCTGGTGATTTACAGTCAGTTAAAAAAATAATAATTCAAAGTTCAGGAGAATCCCTCAAACATTCTAAAACACAATACCACCTACGTCGGGCTAAATTCTTGGCCTGCTTAAGTAGGTCAGTCACCTCAGCTTCTATTTGTTTATCACTGCATTTTTTCCTGAAATAACCAAGATTTTCATCAGTTACAGAACCAAATTTGTTTTTTTTTCAGTAAATTGAAACCAGAAAGACTCTCCATAAAGCCTTCTACATCAGACCACAATGGCAAATACGTTGAGCAAACGTCACATTTGAATAGTTTAGTACGTAACACTTATACATAAAATGCTCTTCTGCCAGAGCTGAGCTAAAAAGCCCAAACACCTGTTTCCCTTTATCCATGCACATTCTTCATGAGCCACCAGGCTGTAGCTCTTCCACAAATCTGCCAGCGATCTGTAACACTTCATATTTCAGATGCTCGCCTGCTGACAAGCAGACGCTCACAGAACACAAACAGGCTCAGTTCCTCCTATCAGCACTTTAATTGAATCCAGTGGCTTCTTATGACGCAATTAACGCCTTCACTCCTCTGCTTTTTTTCTCTTTGGCTCCCGCCAGCCGTGTTTTATTTTAAAACATGCTGGAGTCACATTTTTCCTCCAAAGGGAGGATACGGTGGAGATTAAATGGTTCTCTTGGAACATACTTTTTGATTCACCCTGTTCTGAAGATATTTTTTGTCTGCCTGAAGGGCTTCTCCGATCTGGACGGACGAGGGATGAACGCAGTCTGGCAGGTTTTGACGTGCTTAATGATGACAGCTGTCATGGTTGCTTCGGAAACCAACGGAGAGAGGGGTCATCCATTAGTGGAGTTCGGGGCTCCCCCCCCCCAACCAATGGCTGAGGAGAGCGAGGCGGTCAGGAGAGTGAAGAACCCGCCTCTCCTCCGTCCTGAAACAATTCTATTTGCTCCTCCTCCCTTCAGCCTGTCGCAGTCATTTAAAAAATAACTTAATGCATGAATGCTTTCTCTCCCCCTCTTACTCCTTTCCCTACTGTTATCACATTCTCCTGACCCGCCCCCCCTTCTCCCACACCGTAGCATCCACAACTCTGTGGAAAAGAAACAAGGAGTGGAGGATGGAAAGAAGGTTAAAGGTAGCCAGGAGATTTGAGGGAGAGTGAGGCTGGGCCTGGGACAGGAATTTTAAGCTCAAACACAAAGGTCAGCGTTACACAGTGCATACTGAAGGTCTGAGTACAGTGCATACAGACTGCAGGACAATGGATTCTCATAGTGTGCAATGACTTCTCTCGCCACTGTAAGCAAAAGGCTAAAAGAGGAGCCATTTCTGTCTCCACGGGCAACCAAAACCAAAGCAAACGAAGGTAACTCCTTGAAATAAAAAAGAAAAAAAAGTGGATTTTTTTCACTAGAAGATGCAAAAAAAAAAAAAATAAATTTGAGAAATACAATCAGATATTTGAACATATTTAAAAGTTTTTGGCTTCCAATTAAGATTGATTTAACGTGCTGATAACTCATAACATACAACCAGGATGACAAATAATTATTTATCACTTCAGCTTCTTTTATAAAACATTAGAAATAGATTAAAAGAGGCAAATAAAATAGGAATTGAATAGGAACAATTCAATTCGTATTTTAAACATTTTACTCCCCATTGCTTTATCGTATGCTTGTTTGTTTGTAGCAAAGGATGCATCTGTACCTATTAATACTTCTATCGTGTCAAAAGCTCAAGGCTTTCTGTTGGACAGAATGTTAATATAATGTAACGCTAATCTGTTGATTATTTTTTAGATTAACATAATAATTGGACAACAAAAAGTGCTTGAAATATTTTTTTGCAAAATTTGAACAAGAATTGTCTGTTGACAGGTTCTGAGTAGAAACTACTTACGAAGAAGTTCTTTTCTACCATTAAATCAAAATGTATTTATTTTTCATGCAGTTTTGAGCTGATTGCCGCTCTGACCGTGTTGTTCTTTTAGCAAATGGTTGTATTTGTAGCAACTTGTAATTAATCGTTTTCTAAATTTGTTTATAATCATTTCAATCATCTTTTCATCACGATTAATCCAATTCATCCTTTCAGACCTACACACAACATGGATTTTAGTCACCCGGGGCCAAACACCTTCCTTTCTCCATCGTCTTAGGAACCAAGGCTCTTGTCATTGCATCACCCACAAGAAGCTGATCTTTGTCAGCAGAGCACGTCAACATCCAGCTTCACTGGTGCAGAGCAAACAGCCCTCAGGTCACCATGCAAACCACGGCATCTGAACATGGAGCTATGCCGGGGTTAGTCATCTGCTTATCAGGAAGAGTGGCACAAAGTGACCTGAGCCTGCTGTTTCAGGGCATCTCAACCACAAAGCCTTTGCTAAGAACAGAGGATGCAAATAAAGAACTCAAAAGTTAAAGAGAAACAATAAAAATGCTGCAATTTACAGCCATATTTCTATAACAAACATCTTCGTAGACTCAGAGTTGGAAATTTGAATATACAAATGACTATAAAAACAAATGATTTAATAGTTTCTTGTCTTGGAGTCGGTCATGTAATATATGAGCTCTGTAAGAGGATATCCTTTCTGGAGCTCATTTGTATGAGATGCAAATGAGCATCAGAGGTTCCAGGCTCGCCATTGTTCCACACTGGGTTTAGAAACGTGTTGGAGTGTTGAGGTTTGGCGCTCACAGAAAACTCACATCATAAAGCTCATATTTGAAAAGCAAATGATCCAGAATCAAATCTGAAGGAAGCAAGAATGCACAGAAATTATTTATTTACTTTTTTTTAGTAAATGATTAATAATTCAAGGTTGGATCAGAATGGGCTCAACTAACAATTCAGTGTTTTGCAAAGGTATTTGTAAATTTTGATCTTTGAAAAAGTTTCGTCACATCTCAACCACAAACTAATTTATTAAGTGGGGTTTAGTGATGTGGTTAGCTCTGTGTAAACTGTGTGCACTACACTTCCAAAAGAATTAGTTTGTCTGACTTCAAAAGAGAATAAACATCTGATTTCTAACCTACAGAGTTTAATATGATGTCACTCCTTGAAGCGAGAATTGTTCTGACTGTCTATCAATAAGGGTCAGTCGAGGGCTTTTCTGGGAAATTTGATCATTACTCCAGAGTGAGGTCACACACTGGTGTTGGATAAGAAGGCCTGGTTTGCAGTCTAGGCTCTAGAGCCTAGACTTCAATACCGAACCAGTTCATCTATAACTACTAACTTTGCTTTGTGCACTGGTGAGATTGTTGTTCCCTTTCCAAAAGACTGTTAACTTTTATCTGTGACTGTTAGTACAGAATCTGACATGATACACGTGTACAAGGGAAGAATAGCAATGATTGTGTTATGCCAAAAAACAATCCTGTTTTCCAGTTATATGTTCCCATAATTAAACAGAGGGAGATCTGATCCTGGAGGCTCTGTTATCTCGAGCAAACATCACGCACCTGCAACACGCCAACTTAACTGCCTACTTCCTCAATGAACTCAACCCCGTCTATCTCAACGAACATGTAAAGCACTATGTCAATGTAAACTTCCCTCAAACAAACAAAATTAAAACAGCATCTGCACACTGAGCACAGCAGTCAGTCGGCCCATCCGGCTGTTGCCTCTTTGCCCCTTTGTCGCAGGGCAATGGAGAGAGAAGCTACAGCTCCGCTCTTGTTCCGAGCTCCATAAACGTCACCAAGGGAAGTTTATGGTCGACAGATGCTCGAGTAAATGAAGCTTCTTCCCCCCCCTCCCTCTGCCATCTTCTTCTCACTCAAGGAAGGAGGCACCCCTGGTCATCAGCAGCGACCCGGACTTAACCTCCCACCAAGCTCCCATGGAAACGGAAGAGATGAGGGAAAAAAAAAAAGGAGGAAGCTGGGGCAGTGGCAAGTTACGAGGGAAGAAGAGAGCCGAGCGGAGTCGGGCGTTTTTATGCACAATTGTCTTTATGTCAAAGCTGCTGTCTATATTTTCAGGCTCCTCTGACACACACGACCACCTGCCGCCGCCGTCCTTCGCCTAAAGCCAGCCTTTTTACTGATTCTAATCAGACAGACAGCAGTCACAAGGGCTTCTTTCTTCCAACACAGCTGACTTTCCTCCAGGATAGTCAGTCAGTTTTTGAGCGGATTTCAAACCCTTACACATTAAGATTAAAGAAAAGGCAGCCTCTGCATTGCAGTTCCGACTGTGACCCACATAATCTGTCCTTCCAGAGGCATTCCAACATTCTTGCTCTGCTCTGTAACCTAATCTAATAGATCTCCAACCATCTCCCAGGGCTGAAGCTGAGAGACTCAAGCGTGTTCAGCCTAACCAAATAAAGACAGCTGGTTTGCATGATGAAACAGCCAAAACAGAGACAGAAGTTCAAATCCACCTGTTGCGACTGGTCCAATTTCTTGCCAAAAGCACATCATGAGGATGAGGGAATGTCACAAACAAGTTTAGGAGTTTCAGAGAAGCAGGGAAGGATTAAAGACACATGCATGGTTTTTCTGAAGGTCAGCATCTCTCTCTAAGAGTACAGGAATTACAACAAAAATGTAAATCTGCCATAAAGGAATTTTGCTCGGTGAAAGCAGCTCCTAAAAAAGTTGTGGTTGTACCATCAGCCAAAATGAAAGTGAAATTTGCTATTGCATCCATCTAAAACTGCCATATGTTGTACTGTGGGGATTCTGTCCTTCGGCAGGGACAGGAAAACTGTTCAGAGCTAATGTGAATTTATGTGGCGCTTACCCCAAAACACTGGAAGAAGATCTGTTCAAAGGGAAGGAAAAGAAGGAAGGGAAGGCTCACCTTCTGAGGTTTGCTCCAGTGCATCCAGTGTAGGCTAAGTGTTGTTTCTTTATTAGGTTTCTTTAATGTTTGACTTTTCCAAGACTTCATAGTTGCTGTTTGGGTTTATATGATAATGTCTACTAAAACCTAGTGATATTTTAAAATTTTCTGTCAACCTGAAACATTTTTAACTTAAAAACACTGTAGGCCACTGGATGACCGCCCTAGCGCCCCCACCACAGGGTTTAGCATGTTTTCTGGGGGAAATCCTGATGTTTCCCCGAGAAACACACAGAAAAGATGACAATGTTCATCTATTAAATGAATAAAACTCCAGACATAAATCCAATAGAGAAGATCCACCATGCCACTGCATTAGTGATGATTCATACTGTGATAAAGATGTCATTTGTAGCAAGCCCATATCCTTTCTCGTTAGCGGAAGAGAAGGGATGACTGCAGTTTTTTCTGTAAACGGCCTTTAAAACGCCTGATCTGCCGATTCTGGCAACAAAGTTTCTAAGTTGGAAACGGTGGAGTGACTTTTGTTAACCGCACTCGTGCAGACATGACCTAGTGGGCGTCAGTCAGCCCTCTCTCATTACAGAGCAAAAGGCTGATTTTCAGACTTTTGTAAAGAACAATATCAGTGGATAAGATTAGTTTTACAAGTAATTTCAGCCTGATCTCCCAAAATGAAGAAAATAAGAGTGGATTCATCGGCCGATCAGTGCATTCCTCTTTCTTAGAAGCGTTCATAATATATTGTGTGAATTGTGTTTTAATCAAAACTTCCACTGTAAAAAGTTTGATTATTTATGTTAGACACAGAATAAGACTTTCCTTCTTTGCTTTGCAGACCAAACTTGCCGTCAGCTACAGATGAGCTCACTCCCTCCTGTGCTGTTTGATGAGGCAGGACTGATCTATAAAACCATTTCTCAATCCGTATCTTATATAAATTAGATACAAAATGTGGAAACAAACACCGAGGCATAACTTTTCACCACAAAGAATTGTATTTTAAAGATAAAAATGATGTGGAAGGAGAAGTCAACTGATTTTTAACCAACTGAAAGGGAAATACTGCATTACTTTTTTGTTACTATAAAAGGGATTCTGTTGAGGATGGCTGTGCTTCAATAATTCTACTGCCTAGAAATAATTTTTCTTTTTTGAAATGCAGCTCTTAATGGTGTACGAGGTGTTTGTTCCAGAGAAATGGCACGAAGTTTCGGCCAAGTCAAGTGCACATGAGATAAGTGCATCTCATGTGCACACCGTCAGGTGTGGAAATAAGAGCTTAGTCATGCAAATAACATGCTTACCGAGAGTCTGCTTTTCCTAAGTTGGCTCCAGCAGGATGGAGGATTGTCTGGTTCTTCGCCATTTCCACAACACATTTTGTGTTTAGCTCCTTTTCTGTTAAACAGAAAACAACAAATGTGTTACTACAAAAACTCGAAGCACTTGATTATGTTCAGCAACAAACAAACCTGCTGATGTCAGACCTTCTCAAGAGTCGGTGCTTTTCATGCCGGGCTGAATTATTAGCTCTGTCTTTTCAAAGATCTTTCGGCTATTTTAAGGTACGCAGCATGAGTTCAGCATCATAATGATTTTTCTCTTGAGCACAAGTGAGCAGGCAGGGAAATAGAATCTGAAAGTGACCTTTTACCTTGGACTAGGCAATGTGGCTAATCAATAAAACAGGACATGTTGAGTCATGATGCAACACTTGACGTTCTGAGCGCCAACTAAACTCAGAGCTGGTCCTTGAGCTTAAGTCATCCAGGTCCAAAAAAACAATGTTCAACAATGTAAAAAATGAAACATTCATATTGACATTTTGGCAGTAAAACTCATGTGTCATGTAGCTCCTACTTTAGGAACAAGTTTAAATAAATACAATACAGAGCAAAAGTTTACAGCCAAGTTAACCAGAGGAGTTTATTTCTGTTAAAGAGTAAATTTTTCTTAAACACTGATACAATTACTGATAACTGTATCACAGCATTATCATCACAGCTATTTATTTTTAAGATTATGAACCAGGGCACAAAAACGCATAGATTTAGTTTTTCTTATGGGAAGCTTAAAGGGAATGAAAGCCCTTTCCCACAGTCATTTCTGAGTACAGCTAAAAAATGTCAATACTCTCCCACATGGATACTAATCATCCTTATGACTGCATCACATTAAATTTACATTTATAAAATTTGAATAAGAGTTCCTAAATCTATTATATTTCCTTTTAAATTTGTCGGTATTCCACATAAACCTCTGTTTAAGGGATAAAGTACCACAGGGCTCTGAGCTTGGATCACTGCAAATCAATGAACGAAAAAGACGAAAACAACACAATTTTTATAACATTTGTTACTTGCAAGCTTCAGCCGCTTTTATAAGATAATTCTGTGACAAACAAGACAAACTGAACCACACTTAATTACCTCTAACGTGGTCTATTTTAACTCAACACTTCAGTTGCTACTGACCAAAAAAATAAATAAAAAAAAACCTATAAAAGGGGCACTTATCACAATCAGAAAGCATTTTTAAAAGACGAGCAAATCAAAACTGTAAATGTTACAACTTGAGTTAGCAAAGACAGTGTGTGGCTTCCCCTCTTTTCTCTGGGTGAGGATATCCTCCTCCTGCACCCTCCCACAGAGTTAAGAGGACAGTGGGAAACCTGCCTCCCAACAGCAAGCAAGTGTTTTCCTGGGACAATCAGAAATGTTATCCTACAACAGGAGGAGACGTTCATTGTCCCCAGGTTATCAATGTTGATACAGTAATCAAGATGCACTAAACCTTTCTTACAAATGAAGTTTATTTAGTACATAATATATCAAACCAGGCTATTCAAAATGTCACAATTTCTGCTGCGCAACTAATTCAATTCAATCATAGTCAATGTGACACAGTTTTTTTTCTATTTGCTAACATATTGAAATAACACCATCTCCATTTTGCCAAGGGCTTAAACGTAGAACTGGTAGATTATTTTAAGAATGCAATGAATGTTAATGGACTGGAACAATTTTATTCACTATAGTGAAGTTGTGATGTGTGAGCATGCAAGGACGGCAAACATCAGCAAACGAGTTAGTACAGGAAACTGTCAATGGTTTCAATTCCTTTCTTCAACAAGTACTGCTTTAACTACTATTACACAAGTGTGGTTTACGAATATAAAGGCTCCTGTTGCTTTTATGACAGAGCGGTGACAACTATTGACTGTGGATTTATATTTGCGGTACAATGGAATAGCCATTGAAGATGGCAGCTGCTCCCCACGTGCTAAAAAAGTTGAAAAAAAAAAAAAAAGTTTTTCAAAGCGTCTGAAAAAGCAACACACTCCAGTATGAAGAATGGGAGCATTTTAAAAACACTTCTTGTTCTTCAGTTTCAATACCTCAGCCAATAACTACAGCAACTATATCTTCTTGTAGTTGCTGCTCAAGTTGACAGGTGATTCTTATAGGCCACATTTTACCAAAATAATGTCAAATGCTCTGAGACACCGATCTGCTGTTGGACACTACACATGAGATTACCTAAAAATCTAGGGGTAAGGTTAAATAATGATGAATTAGATATTTGTCCTTCTTCGTAAGGTGACGATGTACGAGCTTTATATTTATATTAGCAGAGAAAAGCAATGAGTGTTTAACGGGGAAACCACCAGTTACTCTGGCTTAGAAAAAAACAAACCTATATTTGGACTTTTTACATTTTAATTTTTGACAGTTCTATAGAAAACAGAGATGTTTTCATTCAGTTTTTACAGCCTCTGTCTTCTCTGCCTACATTACCCATGTCATAGCTACTGCCCTGACCGTTCTTCCAGCTCAGCCAAGGGGAAAGTGTGATACAGTATGATTCAGAGGATAAATGCACCCATTGCTTGCTGCCTTTGGCTGCTCCATAACCCATCCCCATTTTCCATTTAGCTCGTCCATGGGCTACCTAGCAAGCTGAGGTTTGGCACAACAACCCCAACTCCAGCCAGGACGTCCGCTGGCTGCGGTGCTGCCGTTGCTACGCCCGAGGTGCACTGTTCTTCGAAGGCCAACGCCATGGGAACGTGGAGCCTTACGCAACGTTAGCAAATACACATTTGGACTCACTCCCTTCCTGCCTTTGTCCGGCTGGGCAGCTAAGCCCATGTCTCCTCCTCAACCTGGGATTACACAGGGACAGTGGCCTCGAGGTTGTGGTTTCATGCTCACAGGTCTGAACTGGGGTACAATGCAAATACAGAGAATGCCATCCTCCTCACTGCCAACTACTTTGAATGCATCTAAATAGATTGTGTCTCAGATGTGGGATTCTGAATAAACGCAACTTGTACAAAACTAAGAGAAGGAACTTCCTTTTCTCAAGTCTTGTTCTTCTGCTGCCGAGAAATGTGCAACAATAGGTCTATTCTCCAACAGCAACACGCAGACAGAAGCGTTATTCACAAAGAAACCACCGGGAAGGCACTTCTGGAAACATGGCAGTGCCTTCCCTGCCTTCAGCCTTTCCATGCCTACTTCCTATTAAAACCCATACTGGTGCATTTTTTCCCCCTATACAGGAAGAAGTGATGAGTAATGGATGACTTTGCCTTGCCAGAGTGAAGTCTCCTACCTACTTCTACTTGGAGAAGAAAACAAAAGAATATGTTTTGACTGACGGATGGAAACAGCCAGTTTGCACTTGTGTCTTTCAGGTCAGTGAGCAGGCTGAAGAAGCAGAAGCCAGTGAGGCCATAACCAGGACCTGGTTGGACAGAACTTATCGAGAGATATGAGCAGAGACGAGATTCTGACAGGAAATCCCCCTCTGTCATCCATCCAAATGTACCTGATGTGAAGAAACTGCCAGAGGTAACAGTGCATTACCTTGCAGAGATTTCCACTCAGGGTGCCAAAAACCACAAATATACCACAGTTCAGAACAGCTTTAAAATGTCCCAAAATTGATTTGGAAAAAATTTCATGAAACTAATCCGCTGTCTGTAGACCTCCATTTTATAACTGTGCAAGATGTTTTGACGTTGCCATGCAGACTGTACTGGAACACAGAAAGCACCAAAACAAGAAGGAAACTTGTTCTGGCCCAATATTTGTTGAAGGCAAATTATATGGACTCATCTATTTTCTTTAACAAATCTCCAGGACAGATCTCAACATGAGCCTCACCAGGTGCAAGGTTCACGAAATGAAGATTGAGCACTTCAGCAACGCTACAGCTGAGCCAAGGTACGCCATGCCCTCCTGTACAGAGCTGGGAGGTGTGTTGTATGATTAGTCAGAAGTTTTGGCCAGGCCTGTCTCAATAAATCAATTCATATTGTGACAAAACGAGCTCAATAATTTACATTTGGATCATTTATCGTTTTTTTTCTCTTTCTACTAAAACCTGGATGACAAAAGTCTTTAGTTTGGTGCATTGGTCTCAACTAGATCATTTTCTGAAGGACAACTTTGTCAACAAAGACTTCCATAGCCATTTTATTTGTGGTTTTATTTATTTATTTATTTTGTATATTTAAAATGTCTTTCAGTTCTAGATGTTCGTTAGAAATTAACGTTTATTGATCTTTGAGAAAGTGTTTTTGCATCATTGTGGAAAAACACAATGACGTTTTTGCACAATGAAGTTTTGAGACGTGAAAACGATCTCAAAACAACAAACCAAGCAGACTGGGGTAGAACATGGGGATCCTTCGCACAACGACAGATTAAAGCAGAAATCATTAAAAGTAATTATTTTGATTCAAAAAACTGATTTTGAGTTGAATCTTGAGTAAAACAGTAAAACTCTCGATTTCTGTTCTAGTTTCCCCACATTGGTGCAGATGGTGAACGAGAACAGCGTGGTAGCTCCACTGTCTTGATCTTGTGACTGACGGCTCCAGCTCCAAGTAGAGGGACGCACTGGGGGAATACATGCGATTCATTCTGCCAGTTGTCAGTCAACCTCTCTGCCTCCCCACCTCCTCCTTTCACTGGACACATGGTATCCCACGGCACAAACCCGACTTGGCAAGCAACCAGGAAATGTCATCTGTGCCTTCCTTTCCTGCTCTGAAAATCTGCTATGTAATTGCGTGAACTGGCGGAGCGTGAACGAAGACTTGCGCGACACTGTGCCTTTGTTATCCGGGCTTTTCTGAAATTAGACACATGGATGTAACAACATGTAGCAGCCCTGGGAAGCTCAATGCCGTTTGTGAGCGTAAACGAAAGCCGTCTGTTAAGCAGACATCGCAGTGCAACTCCAGAGACGCTCTCCGACCAATCTGGAGGTAGGAAGCTTGTCAGACTGAGTGGACGTTAAGCCGGAATACCTCCTATTAAAAACTACTGACTCTGCTGTTGCCTTTGGCAGAAGATAAATTAAATACAGACACTATTGGCATCTCAATCAAGCAGCAAAACAGACAAGGCGTTCAGTCTCCTCAACGGCGGATCTCACACAACCGCTTGGCTTTAAATCTATATGGGTGGCAGGCGTCTATAAGAGAAGCCCTGTGGCAGCACTGTATAAACACATGCCATCCAGACCAGCCAGGTTACAGCCCTTCTTTTTTTCTTTTTTTAATACATCCACAGAAGCTCATTTCCCTAATGGCCAGTGATTTCTGACCTCTATCTCATCTCCAGGAAATTAAAACAGGGAGACACGCCGGTCTCCTGTGGACAGAGTCTCAGGAAGGAAGATGCCGTCTTATAATGGTGAAGCTGAGTCAGGGCCTTTATGAACCTGATAGGCAAAGGAACTCAAACAGCAAGAGGCAGAGAAAAGCCTGGACTCCAACATGGACAAATAGAAGGAGAGTCGGCAAGATGGAGCAGGGAAACAGGATCATATTTAATACCTGGGGGTGAACCTATGGCAGCTTACTGGCCGATTACCATTTTTTTAAAATGCCTGAACTGCCAATTCCGATTTTGGCTGATACCTGTTATTTGTTGGGGGTTTTTGTCTGACATGTTACTACGGTAAATATAGGCAAGAAAGTCGCTGAGCTGGCAACAGTGGGATGGCTTCATGACCTGATGAGCCTGTCTGTCAGTCAACGCTCTCTCATGGGAGAGCAAAAGAGGGCAGCAGCTGATTTTTAGACCTTCGCACAGGTGGATGAGATCAGTTTCCCATTCAAGTATCGGACAATCATTAATCTCCCATACTAATCACTAATCTCCCATACTAAGAAAAATGGAGAATGTTTATATGTGCACTCCAAACAAGAACAAACCACAAACAAACAAACCACTTTTAGCTCACATTCTCAAAACTTTCTACAGAGTTGTGGTTTATTTTTGTTTGTGGACAAACTGTGTCTCACATGGTAGTACAGCTGCCCTTCAGAGGACAGTAACAGGAGAAAAGAAGGTAATTTCAGTGTCCCTACATTTTGTAAAAAAACATTTCCTGACTCCTTTTCTTGCCATTAACTTTCTGAACCAAGTCCATGTTACTATTTTTTTATCTGTCTTTATCAGTGTTTTATTTTTTTCCAAGTAATGGAAATGCTGAATATTTCAGTTTGCAATTAGGATCCATTAAAGTGACACTGAATCGATTTGCTATGCCAACCTGCATACCTAGGAACCAAGGATCGCTGCAGTGCATGAGCAATTTGATGGCTCACAAAGGGAATGTTGATCAATCTGATCACAATAAAAACCCTCTCACCTCTCCTGTTCATGGGCCGGACCCGCACAGCCACCTTGACATTGGAGTCATCCAGGCTGGGTTCACCCATGCTGACTTCTAGTTTGTTCTGGTTTCTTTCTCCAAGTAGGTCCAAAATAAATTAACTCCTCAGCTGGGCGATCATCTGAAAAGGCTGGAGATGTTGCGCTAGCCGGGGTGTCGACCAGCTAGCCCCTCACTGTTTTGCTCCATGGAGTAGACATGTCCTCGGGTTAAAAAAAAAAAAAAAAAAAAAGGCTGAGTAGATTCCCACAGGAAATCAGTCTCCTCTCCTTATTTTCTTCTTCTGTTCATATTTCAGGTTGACTTAAATCCACACGGGCCTGGGAGCTGGAAGAAAACAGAGTCACACGGGTTAGGTAAGGAGTCAATGCAGCCGATGTTTGTGAATGAGAGGGAAATGTATATTAGCTATTCGTGAGGGGAGAGAAGGGCTAGCCAGCTAATTTGCCCAGGAAAACACTGGAGGAGCAGCGGAAGGAAAGGGGGCAAGTTCCCGGCCTGTTCTCTCATCTGGCAACACAACACCGCTGAACAACAGCCGGCCGCCGAGCGACATACCCGAGCGGACGTATCCCGGAGTTGACACGGCCAAGCTGCGAGAGATGAGCAGAGAAGAGCCCGGCCGATGATCCACAGCTTCCCCAGCGGACCCGCTGCCTCTCTGTCGAGCTCCAAGCTCCCAGCAGCATCCGCCCTTCGTGCTGACAGGCTGCCCTTCACAATAAAAGCGCAATCACGTCTGTCAAAACCGCAGGAGTTGCGTTTTGAACCCACATGGTTATAAACAGGCAACTTTTCAAGAGCAGAACCCACATTAACCTGCCCGTCTGAATAGTTTTAAAGCTTTTACAACATGTTTACACTTTTTTTAAAGGTAACTTTCACTCGGGTGGCTAAATTACTGGATTAAGTTAAATGAATTGCACGTTTCAGCTAGTCTAGGTAAAGACGGTTAGCTTTAGGTTTTTAACCTTCCTCGTGCAAAGCTTTTGATGTTGTTGCGATTTTTTTCACTCGCCGTTTCCACCCGGAACATTGACCCGCAGGCCCCCCGCCTGGAGCCGTTACTTACCAACGAGTGAGTGACGTCGGCAACACTCCGACCAACCAAGAACAATGGCAAGTAAACTACTTCTGTTATTTGGTTTTCAGGTAAGAAGACAGGGAGAGACTTTACCAAATGTGATCGCGAGGCCGGCTGGTCAGTCACGCGACACTTCCGTTGTCCAGCGCCCACCACTTTGCTGAACTTCCCCAAAACTTTCAAAATAAAGCTCAGTAAGACAACGTCTGTTCAATTGGAGGCTATCAAAGTTCCCGACCAGTTTTCAAAGTCTCCAAATATCTTTAGTATCCAGATGTTTAGTGGCACACCAGGCTTTGGACAAGCATAACAATGTCTACCTGTATTTGGTTTAAAAGTAAAAGAAAACGTGGAAATTGTAAGTGATTGAGCCCCTGACCTCCAAATCCAACATCTCTGTCGAGTAGATAAAACAGCATAGACACTCAATTAATTGTGTTATATGTTGTTTTATTATCGCAGTTAAGACAAACTGCTTCGGTTTCATCCGTAGTCATATGAAGATTTCGTGTTAAACATTCATATTCCTATAAGCAGTCCACCATGTTTAAATACCATAACCTCTGACGTTTGCAGGTATTCATAGGCCGATGACAAGCTCTCTGTGTCTTTATGTTATAAGAATAATAAACATGCTCATTAATGCAAAGGGGACTCAACAGCTTTTTTTTTTTTTTTTTTTTTTTTTTGAAGACCTAAAGAGTGAGCATTTTGCGACACTTGCTGGGCAAAAACCGAACTGGCATTGCAAAGGGGTCAAGAGTTAAAGTAATTATGTGGTTTCAATAAGCGGTTATAAATGGCTGCTGGTTTATTCACAATGCACCACATTTAAAAAATGAGGAACCCAAATGTTATGGTAATTATCTTAGATGTACCATGAGGAAAAAAAAAAAACGTTTTCCATCCCGAATATTAAAAATATCTCAATAAGCATCAAATATTTAAGGCTAAATGAAAATCTCAAAATATGTTCAATGTCCAGGCGTGTTTCATTGGCCTAACTTAATGATGTGTTAGGGATTTCAAGTGCAGTTTTCAGAGTACATTTTGAAATAGGCTCAGGGCCCATTAGAGGTGCGCCGCTAGAGGGCGCAAGTCGTTAAGATGAAGCAAAACGACAGTGGAGGTGGTGCTTGAAAACACACAAGTACTGAAGTTGTTGAAGTTTGTGAATGAAGTTGAATAATGGAACGTTTCTGTCCACATGCTAATACACTGAATATATGTTTACATTGCAGATAATAATAAAAAAAAGTAATAATATAATACATACAAACAAACAAATACATTAGTAAAACATTTGCAAAACCCAGCCTGGCATACTTAGGTTGTTACTACTGAAAGTGTACATTTTCTCCAAGCACCTCTTGATAACTTTGGATCGGCTCAAAATGCAGGTGAGTTTTTAAGAACAAATCCTTACTTACAATAATAACCTGGCACAATAGACCAGCCGTGTGCTGAGGTACGCTTCAGCAGCAGCAGGCTCCCCTTCACAACCCAACGAATTAGATTAACATTCGGCCTGATCTGCTCAGCTATAAAATCTCTTGGCGATCTCACGGTGCAAAAACATTTAAGAAGACATAAAATTTCCGAGGCTCTCGCTTCTGCGCCTAATCTGATTTGTTAGAAACAACTGGTCCAGGCAGGCCTGATGTGTGGCAGAGAACGTAGGTGGGAAAACCTGCATACTATTCTGCTTAAGATATGTAAATTAAGTCAGTGTTACTTAAGCAAACAAACTAATGCTGTGTTGACAAAAATAAGCTCAAATCAAAATTAGGGCAGAAATTAAGAATGACATAAACACATATGTAAATTAGAATATGAAACTTCTCTTCTGTGTAAGAGATAATCACTTATTGAAAAAACATTTTACTCCATTCTGTTTAAGAACAGAATGGAGTGCAATGCAAAGAATTACAATAATGACACAAATGATAACGACAAACCTTCCAGTTTACAATTATGCAATTATTTGTTGGTCTATAAAATAAAGTTGTGAACAAAAATTAGAAAAAGCAGAAGAGGAGTAAATACATTTACAAATGCATGCCCTTTTTTAATCTAAATCATTTCCATTTTTTATTTTAGTTATAATGAAATGTTTTCATATATATATCTTTTGACCTTGTCATTACCTGTTCTAATGAGCATTTTCCAGTTTGCCTTAATGCTTTTGATTTGGACCAATCAGGCCTCAGTAAATGTCTTTTTTTCTCTCTCTCTCTCTCTCTGAAATGGCCTTGTTGTACAAGCTGACTGCATAATTTATCAACTGCTTCAGAGTTTTATTTCTCTGAGGAAGCTTTAGCTGAGGAACGTGATTTCTTTTCTAATCCAAATTTCCAAACGTTTCAAATCTTAAAGGGTTGTCTTGTTCCAATTAACTTTGCCCTCACAGTCTTTCAGTCATCCATGCAGATGCGAGAGGGTTAGGGTTAGGGTCATGTAGGGTCATTACTAATCCAACATGCAAGAACAGTTGATGAGTTGAAGACTAATCTTTACACAAAGTTATATTTAGAATCCCATTTGCTATTTCTAGACAGCGTTTGTTTTTCTCAGTGATATTCCTGCATGTGGCCTAATGGGTTTCCTTTTCAACCCTCTGCGTCCACTGGCTCGTCCTTTCACTCTGCAGAGGCCACTCTTCATGACGTGTGTAGATATGTAGGAGCCGAGCGCAGGGGGATGTCAAATGATTACTGGAACACGCCACTGCTGTCTTGAGTTGGGGGAATCTGGATTTAGCTGATAGAAACTGGAAAAGTGAGGCTGAGCAGCTTCAAGGGAGGGGAAGAGACGTCAGATGTGAGGAGAAGTTATAACAATATACGTTTATATATTAGAAATCCATTGATTCTGACTCAAGCTGGTTATTTGAAGCAAAGCAACACAAAGGATGCTGTGGTTAAGCTCTCCCAAGTGGACTCCCAGTGAAAAGGGGACAGAGTCTTTTAAGATTGCGAAGAACTCACGATCTGTTTGACATTGGTCACCTCAAGTCCACATCATTCAGTCAGGTAGATGATGAATTAGCAGCTTGATGTCTGCCTCGCACAGATCCAGAAAGTGGAAAAAATCTGTTTTTAGTTGCTATAAGTACACAAATAATAATTTTGTAGACCAAGACTGAATACTGCAAAAGCACAAAACCTTATTAAGTATTTTTTTAATCTAATTTCTAGTGCAAATATCTTAGACAAAACCACCTTACCGTCAACCTCCAAAATGTCTTTTAATTGGAGATTTTTTTTTAACAAGGCAAAAGTGCAAAGCCTCAAATGTGTCTTGATCCATAATAATTTACATATCAATTTCCTGCAAATCTCTGTTTTATTCTTTTAATTAATTTATTGCACATTATGTTTTGAGCACACAAAATACACAAAAACACACATTTGTTGTATCATCTCTTTAGTTTTCTAAAATTTCTTATGTTCTTTTGGACTCTGATCACTTTTGACTTGACCATGTGGCTCGTGACAAAAAGAGTTTGTGCAACACTGCCCTAAGGTCCAAAGAAGACCAAAGAGCCCCGGAACTGATGAAAATTTAAAAGAGGTGCTGTAGCATGACCTTTGAGAGGTCATTCGTTCCCCAGTGACACTGAATGAAAACAATTCTGCATATCAGAATGGGTCCAATTTCCTCCGCAAGGATGTAAAAGACTCAGCCAGTTATCTGAAATGCCATGTGGCAGTTGTTGCCTCCAAGGCTGACGCAACCAGTTATTAGGTTTTGTGTGCAACTGCCGTTTTGATTTTAGATTTTTTTTTTTTCAATTTGAAGTACTTCTCATCTTTATTTAGAGTGATAAGTCAGGAAATGGGATGAAACGAGAAAGGAAGACATGGAGGAATGGTCTCAAAGTTGCAGCACCGCAAAAATAAAATCTTAAGTATTTCTGGTCTCATTTCTTGTATCTTAAGATAGTTTTGTCTTGAAATAAGATAAAACTAACTCATAAGTAACTTTTCAGCGCCATATAGAAGCTTGTTTTGAGTCAATCATTTTTCAATATCCGTTAAAAAGTACTAGCTCTGCTGGCAGATTGTTTTACTTATTAGAAGACATTTTTCACATGAAAATAATCTGCCAGTGGAACTAATACTTTTTCATCAATATTAAGG